GAAACATGAATATATCACCCTTATATAGTAAATTTAAAAGTAATCACATATCATTAAACTATAATAGTATGGCATTCTTTTTTTTTTTTTTTGACAGGCAGAGTTAAACAGAGAGACAGAGAGAAAGATCTTCCTTCTGTTGGTTCACCCACCAAATGGCCGCTGCGCCGATCCGAAGCCAGGAGCCAGGTGCTTCCTCCTGGTCTCCCATGTGGATGCAGAGCCCAAGCACTTGGGCCATCCTCCACTGCACTCCCGGGCCACAGCAGAGAGCTGGGCTGGAGAGTGGCAACTGGGACAGAATCCTTCGCCCCAACTGGGACTAGAACCCGGGGTGCCAGCTGGCCTTTCTTTTTCTTTCTTTCTTTCATTTTTTTTTTTAAGACTTATGTATTTATTTGAAAGACAGAGTTACACAGAGAGAGGAGAGGCAGTGAGAGAGAGAGAAGAGGTCTTCCATCCGATGGTTGACTCCCCAATTGGCTGCAACAGCTAGAAGTGCACCAATCTAAAGCCAGGAACCAGGAGCTTCTTTCAGGTCTCCCATGCCGGGCGGGGCTCAAGGACTTGGGCAATCTTCTACTGCTTTCCAGGCCATAGCAGAAAGCTGGATTGGAAGTGGAGCAGCCGGGACTCAAACCAGTGCCCATATGGGATGCCGGCGCTTCAGGCCAGGGCATTAACCACCTGAGCCACAGTGTTGCCCCATATTTTATTTTTTTTATCTGATTGTGGACATCTTGGTTTACTCTAAATTTGGGCTATTTTTTTTTTTTGATAGCAGAGTTAGACAGAGACAGAGAGACAGAGAGAAAGGGTCATCCTTTTCCGTTGGTTCACCCCAAAAATGGCTGCTGTGGCTGGCGTGCTGCACCGATCTGAAGCCAGGAGCCAGGTGCTGTCCTCCTGGTCTCCCATGCAGGTGCAGGATCAAGCACTTGGGCCATCCTCCACTGCACTCCCTGGCCACAGCAGAGAGCTGGCCTGGAAGAGGGGCAACCGGGACAGAATCCTTCGCCCCAACCGGGACTAGATCCCTGGGTGCTGGTGCCACAGACAGAGGATTAGCCTATTGAGCCGCTGCGCTGGCCCAAAATTTGGGCTATTTAAACAGTGCTGCTATGAACATGGTGTATAGATTTCACTTTGATACAACATTTTCATGTCTTTTGAGTATATATCCAGTAGTGGGATTGCTGGATCATATGGCAAGTCAATTTCTAGTTTTTTAAAGAAATCCCCATACTGTTTTCATAATGGCTTACTAATTCCATTCCATGAACAGTGTATAAATATGTCCCTTTCTCCACATTCTTTTCAGTATTTGTTACTCTCTTGTCTTTTGGATTTTATGCCATTCTGAGATGTGAAGTGATATCTCATTGTGGTTTGATTTGCATTTTCCTGACGGCTAGTGATGTTGAGCATTTACTCATATATTTGTTGGCCATTGTATTCTTCCTTTTGAGAACTGTCTATTGAGGTCCTTTGTTCATTTCTTACCTGGATTTGTTGGTTTTTATTGAGTTTTTTAAGTACTGATATATTCTGGATAGTAATTCTTCGTTGGATAGGTAGCTTGCAAATATTTTTCCTATTCTGTTGCATATTCTTCATGGTATTGATCATTTCCTTTGCTGTACAGAAGCGTGTGAGTTTGATAAAACTCCATTTGTTCCGTTTGTGCATTTGTCACCTGCTCATTCGGGAGTCTTGTCCAAGAAAGTCATTCCCCTACACCAATGTCGTGGAGTGTTTCCCCTACAGTTTCTTCCAGCAGCATCATAGTCTTAGGTCTTAAATTTAAGTCTTTGATCCATGTTGAGTTAATTTTGTATACGGTGACAGGTAGTATCTACTTCCATTCTTCTATACATATGTGTGTATGTGTACAAACACCTGGTTTTCCCAGCACCATTTGTTGAAGAGATTATCCTTACTTCCATTTTATGGTCTGAGCACTTTTGTCCAAATTCAGTTGGCTGCATGTATGTGGATTAATTTCTGGGCTCTGTGTTCTGTTCCATGGATCTATGTCAGTTTTTATGCTAGTACCATGCCATTTTAATTATTAGAGCTTGGTAGTAAGCTTTGAAGTCAGGTATTTTGATAACTCCAAGTTTGATTTTTCTTGCTCATGATCATCTTGGTTACTCTGGGTTGTTTGTGATTCCATATGAATTTTGGGTTGTTTTTTCTAATTCTGTAAAAATGTCATTAGTATTGTTGATGGGATTGCATCGAATATATCTAGATTGCTTTAGGTAGTATAGACATTTTAATGATACTGATTCTAAATGGAAGTTTTTCTAATTTGTAATTAAATTATAATGCATTAATAAGTATCAGTACATAAAGACCTAAAAATCAAGTTTTTCCAGTAGTTAAATTCAAAAAAAATATTATGTTCACAAGCACACACACAAAAAACCTTTTCAAGTAACATAACGATACATAAGGAGATAAAAGCACTAACCAAGCAACTTTTTAAAATTATTTTTAAACCAATGAACTTTTAAGCATTGTACTTGGACATACATCTTTATTCTAAGACAAGGAGATCTATAAACTGAACTTTACTCTGCTTGGTAGGAGTACATCTCTCAGTAGTAGGTATGTAGCAATTCTGAAAATAATTCCTGTGGATTGCCTGATTGAGTAAATGAGGAAAGACAGTGAATATGCCTGAAGCCAGGATTTCACTTTGGAGAAGGAAGATGAAACATTAAATATAGCAAGGTTAGAAATAAAAGAACTGGTAGAATTGGATTGGAATTCTCCAAGGTTTCCAGTAAAAGAAAAAGTATTAAATGATCCAGGGACATTTGATGGTTCTACAAAGTAAAGAACTACTTATAGTAGAATAATGATAATAATAGTAATATTCAAAGTACATTCAGGCTAGCCTGAAGGTGACTCCTCATGTCCAACTCAGGAAGTAAAATATCAAAATAAATAATGCTACCAATGGATCACAAGCCATTGCCTATAAGAAGAAACCTTGTGCCTACTACTACTAATAAACAAATGAATGAATACATTGGGCAGAATAGAAAATTCACATTATTTTCTGAAGGATCTTTTATTTTTAAGAGATTTATTTATTTACTTGAAAAGTCAGAGTTACACAGAGAGAGAAGGAGAGGCAGAGAGAGAGGTCTTTCTGCTTCCCAGGCCATAGTAGAGAGCTGGATTGGAAGTGGAGCAGCCAGGTCTTGAACCAGCAATCCGTGTGGATGGCTTTATCCCGATACACGACAGTGCCAGCCCTGAAGGAATCTTGTAACAGTTTAATACTACTGCTTGTAATAGGTTAGAGTGCCTGTTTTGCTATATATTTGACAATGGTGAATACTATAAGTTTGTTTTTGTCCTTTAGTGCATTGTTTGATTACTATTATAAACTGAACAGTTTTATCCAAATATACAGGATACTTCAAAAAGTTAACAGAAAAGTGGAAATAGATAATAAGTTTATTTTGATGCATACATTTTTTAAATCTCTTACATAATTTTTTCATATTGCACATTTTTCGTGAAAGTTAAATATTAGGTAGCATGTGTCTGTGTAATTTTGGCATGGATAATTAGGTACTTCTGTGAAAGTAGTTTTGGTGGTGTTCTCACATTTCTATTGCAATATTAGGAAATTTTTCCTTGTGGCCAGAGCCGTGCGCACTAGGTTAATCCTCCAACTGCGGCACCGGCGTCCCATATAGGCGCGGTTCTAGTCCAGTTGTTCCTCTTTCAATCCAGCTCTCTGCCTGTGGCCTGGGAAGGCAGTGGAGGATGCCCAGGGTGCTGGGGCCCCTGCACCTGCGTGGGAGACCAGGAAGAAGCTCCTGGCTCCTGCTCCTGGCTTCTGGCTTCGGATTGGTACAGCTCCGGCCATTGGGCCATTTGGGGAATGAACCAATGGAAGGAAGACCTTTCTCTCTGTCTCTCCCTCTCACTGTTGTAATTTACCTGTCAAATAATTGTTAAAAAAATCTTTTCAAAAAGAATTTTTCCTCACTGTTTGAAATGATATATATTATATTATGTCCAGAGATATAGATCTAAACTAAAGATGGAAGCAGAATAAAGAGATAAGGATAGAGGAACTAGACATGAAAGGAGGGAAGTGGGGGAGTGTGAGGTGATGGTACATACCCATTATGATTTAGTATAGTACAGATATCGATCATTTTAGGATTCCTGAGCAAAGAATTTTTTTTGGCTGATTTCCGTCACATTCCCTTCATGGCAACATGTTACTGTAGATTACAATGAATATGTATTCTCTTATCCTGAAGAACCTTATATATTCTATTTAGACAGAGACTCTTTCAAGTTCATACATACTTTATTATTTTAACTTTTCTTTCTTTTTTTTAAAGATTTATTTATTTATTGAACTTCAGAGTTACAGAGAGGCAGAGGCAGAGAGAGAGGGAGGGAGAGAGGTCTTCCATCCACTGGTGTCACTCCCAAATGGCAACCAGAGCTGGGCCAATCTTAAGCCAGGAGCCAGGAGCTTCTTTAGGGTCTCCTCATGGCTGCAGGGGCCCAAGGACTTGTGCCATCTTCTACTGCTTTCCCAGACTATAGCAGAGAGCTGGATTGAATAGGAGCAGGTGGGACACGAACTGGCCCCCATATGGGATGCCACACTGCAGGTGCTGGCCCTATTTAACTTTTCTTTACTACTTGTAGTATAATCTATTTACATAATATTTGAAACATTTGTGACTTTTTCTACAGTATTACTGCCGCTGGTGTTTGCAAAGTAAGGATAATAATATATTTTGCTTCCACTTCATTTTCAGCTTATAGGATTTCTTGGCATAGATAAATTGCTTATATAAAATTGAACTGTTTTATATATTACATATTAATATTTAATATTATATTTAATATTATATTAAATATTAAATATATGTAATATTTTCCAATCATTTCAGAAATAAAAAAATGAATTACAGCCCATCAGTTATTTTGGGAGAGTTCCACCATTGAAAAAATCTTTTCAATTTCCATCCGGCAAATGAAGAATGAAAATTGCCTAGAAAACATACTTGCCAGGTGAGTCTTTTCCAAAGTCAGACAATGAAATATTCATAGTTATCCTGGGAAGTCCATTTCTTGAAAATGTAGCAAATATTGTGAGAGTTATAGCAGGCAAAAGGAAACAGCAAGAATGAGACAGGAGAAGAAGGCAGGGGATGTTGCTGTGTTTGAGGGTTTTTCATTTTCCCATCTGACACAGATTTATGTTAGTCCTCTGCAGCTTTGGGTCATTCTGCTTCTCTAAAATCAGCTTCAGTTTTCTAATCCATACACTGATATTTAGCTCATTCAGTAGCTTTCGAAATCTTCTGAAGGGGAGAAGGAGGAGGGCACACTTATTCAAGCAAAACATTCCATGGACTTCTAATTATAACACAGGAAAAATCAAAACTGTTCTGGTGAGAGTGTAGCACAGATTCAGGGGTTGGGGTGGGTATTGTTCCTGTCTTTAACCACCCACCTTGTCTGCCCCTAGTTAACCTGTAGGGCACCCCTGAGTCTTCCCAATTTCATGAGGATCACATTTGACCAATAATGGCAGCAAAAGGCAAATTCACACAAAGTCCCCTTCCTTGTTAATACCCTCAAATGCATAAATTCTTTATAAGTTATTTTGAATTTCAAAAGCTACCAAAATTTTACTTGTACTTAACAAATTCTTAATGCTAACTGGATATTATGTTAGTCCTAAGAGTACAAAAATAGACATTTTCATTCGCACATGTACAATACATTATTAATTAAATGATTATCCAAATTAGTATAACCTCATTGAAGTGATACACTTAGTGGAGAAGAGGTAAATGTGACCATGAATGTATGAGATAGGAAGATCTGTGCTAGGCAGAAATATCAGGACAGCCTCCTAAGGAAGGTAGTAAGTGAAGTAGGACCTAAAGGTAAGTTAGGAATTAGTCCTATAGAGAAAAGAAATAGAAGAATTTTATACAAAGCACAGGGAAAGAAGCAGCATGGTATCTTAATTAATATGTCTAAAAATTTAAACAAGGGGTGAAGAGAATTGGGAAAAGTGGGAACCAAGACAACAGAGTTTTTACCCAGGGATTTGATCTATGTCCTCAGAGAAAATGGAAAATTACTAAAGTGTTTTGAGGCAGGCTCTTCATGATCAGATGACTGTCTAGAGGATGGTGGATGTATTAAATTACTTTAAAAGTTTATAGAAAATGGAGTTGAGAGGGGCCGGTGCTGTGGTGCAGCTGGTAAGAGCCGCTGCCTGCAGTGCTGGCATCCCATATGGGTGCCGGTTTGTGTCCTGACTGCTCCACTTCCTATAAACTCTTGGCTATGGCCTGGGAAGGCAGTAGAGAATGGCCCAAGTCCTTGGGCCCTCGCACATCGCATGGGAGGCCTGGAGGAAGCTCCCAGCTCTTAGATTCAGATGGGCGCAGCTCTGGCCATTTCGGCCATCTAGGGAGTGAACCAGTGGATGGAAGACCTCACTCTCTCTCTGGCCTCCGCTTCTCTGTAACTCTGTCTTTCAATAAAATAAATCTTTTTAAAAAAGAAAAGAAAATGGAGTAGAGATAAATTTATTTTGGTGCCAAAAATTGAAACCTATGCCCAGTTTTTCATACTACACATTTTCCATGAAACTTTTTGAAGACACTTTGAATTAGTTTGGGATGGATGAGAAGAGATACAGATTCAGATACAATGATGTGTAAAAATAATATAGCTGTAGGCCGGCGCCGCGGCTCACTAGGCTAATCCTCCGCCTAGCGGCGCCGGCACACCGGGTTCCAGTCCTGGTCGGGGCGCCGGATTCTGTCCCGGTTGCCCCTCTTCCAGGCCAGCCCTCTGCTGTGGCCAGGGAGTGCAGTGGAGGATGGCCCAGGTGCTTGGGCCCTGCACCCCATGGGAGACCAGGAAAAGCACCTGGCTCCTGGCTCCTGCCATCGGATCAGCGCGGTGCACCGGCCACAGTGTGCCGGCCGCGGCGGCCATTGGAGGGTGAACCAATGGCAAAGGAAGACCTTTCTCTCTGTCTCTCTCTCTCACTGTCCACTCTGCCTGTCAAAAAAATAAATAAATAAATAAAATAAAATAATATAGCTGTTATCTTATGGAGAGACCATGGCGTCATAGACTGGCGTATGTCAATGGAGATAACATAGATTTAAGAAATGTATAAGGGGTAAAATTGGTTAATTAGGTGATGGATTAGAAATAGGGTGCATGGGAAAAGGAAATATCAAGGGTAATTCTAAATTTCTTCCTTACCTCAACTAATGGATGAGACACGGGACAGCACAAGAAGTGCTAAACTTTGATGGAAGAAGAGGAATCACCAGCGTGATTGAGCTATATCATATTTGAATAGTTTTTGCAACAAGTTGTTAAGTCACCTATTTCAGAATCATACTTGAAATAGAGACAATATATTTCAGCTATGTTTAGGTAACAGTGAAGGCACGGGTATAGATGATGGTTCTACATACAAAGTGTAAAGTGATAGGAGCTGGCATTATGGCACAGTGGTTTGAGCTTGAGACAATGGCACATTATGGCACAGTGCTTGAGACAATGGCATCTCATATCAGAGTGCCAGTATAAGTTCCAGCTGCTGTACTTCTGCTTCAGCTGCCTGCTAATGTGCCAGGCAAAGCAGTAAAAATGGCCCAAGTACTTGAGGCCCTACACCCATTTGGGAGAGCCAAATGGTGTTTCAGACTCCTGGCTTCAACCTGGCCCAGCCCTGGCCTAACCATTTGAACAGTGAACCAGCAGATAGAAGATCACTTTCTCTCTCCAAATCTCTCTGTTGTTCTGCCTTTCAAATAAAAAAATAGGGCCGGCGCCGCGGCTCACTAGGCTAATCCTCCGCCTAGCGGCGCCGGCACACCGGGTTCTAGTCCTGGTCGGGGCGCCGGATTCTGTCCCGGTTGCCCCTCTTCCAGGCCAGCCCTCTGCTGTGGCCTGGGAGTGCAGTGGAGGATGGCCCAGGTGCTTGGGCCCTGCACCCCATGGGAGACCAGGAAAAAGCACCTGGCTCCTGGCTCCTGCCATCGGATCAGCGCGGTGCGCCGGCCGCAGTGCGCCGGCCGCGGTGGCCATTGGAGGGTGAACCAACGGCAAAGGAAGACCTTTCTCTCTGTCTCTCTCTCTCACTGTCCACACTGCCTGTCAAAAATAAATAAATAAATAAAATAAAATAAAAAAATAAATCTTTTACAAAATGGGAAGTGACAGTATAATAGAATCTTGAACATTTTAGGGGCTTCAACATTAAATAGCAAGTAAAGAAAGAAAAGGGTTCAAAGTATGCAGCCAGAATGAATGAATGGAAAACAGTATTATATCTTACTAGCTGGGGAAGAAAGTGTTTTAAGAAGGAGTTAAACAGTGCTGAGAACTGAAGTAAAATAAGGAATAAAATTATCACTTGGATTTAGCAACAGGAAGTTTTCTGTTTGTTTTTGTTTGTAAAGATTTATTTATTTGTTTGAAAGGCAGAGTTACCAAGAGGCAGAGGCAGAGAGAGAAGGATGTCTTCCATCTGCAGGTTCACTTCGCAGACGTCCACAATGGCCAGAGCTGGGCCAATCCAGGAGCTTCTTCCAGGTCTCCCACATGGGTGCAGGGGTCCAAGGACTTGGGCCATCTTCTACTGCTTTCCCAGGTCATAGCAGAGAGCTGGATCTGAGTGGAGCAGCCAGGACTAGAACTTGTGCCCACATGGGATACTGGCACAGCAGGCTTCAGCTTTACCTGCTATGCCACATGGGTGATCTTCATGAGAACTGGTTCAGTACAATGATAGTGGCAAAACTCCAGACTAGAGTGATTTGAGGAGTGAGTTACAGTTGATTGGAATATTTCTTTGGAGTTTGGCCTTAAATGAGAGGGGAGAGAGTCTGCTAACTGGTTCATGGTGTAGTATTGAGGAAAGGGTTCTTATTTTTTGGGTATGTTCAAAAAGCGGTGGAAGAATCCATAAAGATGAGGTAAAGAGAAAGAGGAGTAATCAACAACGTGCTCTTCCAGAGAAGAGTAAAGACGGAAGCATATAAGGAAACACTGCCCTGAGATAGGAGGAAGGGACTGTACTTTTACTTTCAACAGGTAGAAACATTGTTGGATTAGTTGTATACATATGGTAAATTTGAATGTTTGTTGACACAAAAAGTGGTATTCGTATGTATGTATACAGGTATATGCAATCCATGTATTTTCTCTGTAAATGGTTATATTATCTACATAATTTGTTTAAAGATTTATTTTATTTATTTGAAAGGGAGAGAGAGAGAGAGAGAATCTTCCATCCTCTGGTTCACTCCCCATGTGACTGCATTGGTGGGGGCTGGGTCAGGAGTCTGGAACTACATGTAGGTGCAGGGGCCCAAGGACCTGAGCCATCTTCCAACTGCTTTTCTAGGTGTGTTAACAGGGAGCTGGATCAGAAGTGGAGGAGCCTGGACTTGAACCAGTTCTCTGCTATGGGATGCTGGTTTTGCAGCCTGAGTCTTAACCCACTGCTGACCCCTCATCTACTTAATTTTAAAGAGGAAATAGAGGAGCTGACATTGTGGTATAGAAGGCTAAGCCTCCACCTGCGGTCCCTGCATCTCATATGGGTGCCAGTTTGTATTCTAGCTGATCCTCTTCTGATCCAGCTCTCTGCTTATGGCCTGAGAAAGCAGTTGGAAGATAGCCCAAGTATTGGGGGCCCTGCACCCATGTGGGAGACCTGGAAGAAGCTCTTGGCTTCTGGTTTTGGATTGGCCCAGCCCCCATCATTTTGGCTATTTGGGGAGTGAACCAGCAGATGGAAGCCCTTTCTCTCTGTCTTTCCCTCTGTCTGTCACTCTACCTCTCAAATAAATAAATGAAATTTGTAAGAAATAAAATAAAACGCTAAGCCACTTTTTTTTTAAAAAAAAGAAGAAATAAAAAATTAAGACTTGCATTTATAGTAGTAAGTCAAAATAATTTTTAAAAAAATAGAAAAATGAGCTGACCAGACAAAGATGGACAAAGATGGAATTTCAGCATGGAAACTTTAGAAGTATGAACTCTCCAACTCTACACCCTACCCTTGACTTACTGAGCCAGAAACTGGGGGTGGCGCCAGGCGTGAGACCACTGCTCTAAACAGTGTTCCAGCTTTCTTTCTTTTTTTTTTTAACTGTGATTCACACAATGATGTTTTGCATCGCAGTTAGTACGCAGGTGCACATGAAACAAATCGGAAAGTTTATGAAAATATCCTATCCAGTGCAATCTTATATTTTCTGTTCCCTTGAATTTCCCTTTGAAGAAAATGCTAGGGTGAAAATCCTAAAGGGTGTTGGAGAGCCGATGAGATTTGGACATGGACTGTAGGTTGGATGATCACATTGCAAATGTGAAATATCTAGATTTTGGAAATCTGCTATGACTGTGCACGTGCATGCCCTCTCAGGGAAGCCATATGAAGTACTTCAGTTAGGAGTGCTTACCTTGCACAGGCAGAGGAAGCAAAAGAGACGGTGAAGGCAACTGATGAACCTGGGTACAGGGGAGACAGTTTGAAATCATGTCAAATAAAGTACCTGAAGAATATTGGTTCAGACACACTAATCTGATACTGGCCTCCACAAAGGAGTCTTTGAAAACTGCAAGGCGTATTTTAAAGTCAGGAACTAGTACTGGATTCTACTAAAGTATCTCTAATACCCCATGCAGTGCCTCAGCTGTGGAGGGTGCTCAGTGCTTGTTCACTGACTGCTGATGTTAATATAGGTTTTTCTTGCCACTGTTGTTTTCAGTTGTTAGTCTAGTCACTGTTGTTGCATTTGCTTCCTTTTCACTTCTAGAAGATCCGCACCTTAATCTGTTTTACGGTGTGCCCAAGGTCACTGGAGAGTGTTATGGGGTGGGAAGAAGGTAGGCTGTGGATTTGAACCGATGGGGTTTTCCTGCAGGCTCCTCTCCTGCCTGGCTGCCTGTTGCTCTGTGCCCGTGCAGAGCTGTCACATGGCTCCCCTCTACTTCATAGGATTGTTAAGCTGTGTGATCCTGGGCCAGGCGCAGATGGAATGGGTGTGAGGAGTCTCATCCATGTTGGTATCCGTCCCCTTGGCTCAGCTCTGTGGAGAGTCAGTCTTTCCTGACAGATCCGGGCGCAGGGGCCAGCGTGACAGCAGGATTAGAAGTTTTCCATGATCTTGAGGGACCGAGGTGGTCACTTTATATGTATTGGTGATATAATTTGACTGGTATGTTTACAGGGTCTGGGTTCTGCTTCTTCGTCATAACTTCAGTTCCATTACATGCACACTATTAGTACAGCTACTGAGCAGTGTAATTTGGGAAGACAATACTTGGAAAGAGTCAGGTTATGGTATTTTCTCTGGTTGCTTTAAATATTTCCTAACTTTTATTTTTCCTGTTTCAGTGCAGTATATTCAAAGAACACTTTAAGAAGAACACATCCCATGAAAGAAGTAAGTTCTCACTTTAGCCTTTAATGTGGTTTTTCTCACAGTTGACTATAAAAGTAACCTTTGGTGAGGACCTTAGAGTTTTCTGTATTTCACGTGATAAGCTCTGTTTTAGGGTAGTAAAAAAAAAAAGTTTATTCCTTTTCTTCTCACTTTTTCCACTGTTAGAAAAGAACCTTTGTTAACATTTTAGAAACATTTCTTTTTTTCCAAGCCTAGATTTGTTTCATTTAGATAATTAGCACTGTGTAAAAATTGTACAGCTTTCTGAATTTTGCCACTCCTCCCAGCCATTTCTCCGTGTTACTCTCAATGGCTTGTGATTTCATGAGGTTCCATGTTGTCTACGTTACAGTTTTATTTTTCTTCAGGAGAGTCTTAGAATACCTGTATGTAATGGCAGGTACATTTCTTTAATGCTCTTGATAGCTAATTCCAAATTATTTTCCAACGGCCTGTCGCGTGGCATTGGAATTTCACATGAAGTCCAGGTGGTCGGGCAGTTGCGAGTGCGTTTGTTCTCTGTTCTGCCTCTGGCATCCTCCGGAACCCCAGCCTCCAGAGCCTTACCCGTATATTGAACTGTACACAGGCTCTCCTTCAGCCAGGACTGTCAGCCCCTGTGCTCCCAGAGCTGTGCACATCCAGGTGGCAGGCATATTTCTGGGGAGACAGCCCACCGTTCTCTTTAGGGATCTAGGCAAGCTATGGCCTGGGGGCCTAAACCAGCCTACTACCTCTTTGTACACAAGCCTGGGAACAAGGATGATTTTTAATAGCCAAAATAAACAAAAAAGGATATGTTGTGTGCCATGAAGATGATGTGAAATGCAGAGGTCTGCATCTCTGAGTAGAGTTGTGTTGGAAGCCGGCCCTGTATAGGATTTTATAGGATTCCGTTAGCTATTTGAGGTCTCCTGTGTTTCTATATGAATTTTAGCATTTTTTTTTTGTATCTGAGAAGAATGTCCTTGGCATTTTGGTTGGTATTGCATTGAATCTATAAACTGCTTTTGCTAGTGTGGACAATTTGATGACACTGATTCTTCCAACCATGAACATGGAAGATTTTTCCTTAATTTTTTTTCTTTTTTGTGGCTTCTGTTTCTTTAATGTTTTGTAATTTTCATTGTAGAGATCTTTGCCATTCTTTGTTAAATTTATTCCAAGGTATTTGATTTTTTTTGATTGAACTTAGAAGTTCTTTCTTAGCTATGGCATTGTCTATGTAGACAAAGGCTATTGATTTTTGTGTGTTGATTTTATATCCTGCCACTTTACCAAACTCTTCTATCATTTCCAGTAGTTTCTTAGTGGAGTCTTCCAGATCCCCTATATATAGAATCATGTCATCTGTAAACAGGGATAGTTTGACTTCCCCCTTTTCAATTTGTATCCCTTTGATTTCTTTTTTTTACCTAATGACTGTGGCTGAAACTTCCAGGGTGATATTGAATAGCAATAATGAGGGTGGGTATCCTTGTCTGGTTCTGGATCTCTGTGGGAATGCTTCCAACTTTCCCCCATTCACTATGAAGCTGGTCTTGGGTTTTTCATACATTGCCTTGAGGAATATTTCTTCTATATACAATTTGCTTAGAGTTTTCATCATGAAAGGGTGTTAAACTTTATCAGATGCTCTCTATGTATCTATGGAGATAATCATATGGTTTTGGTTCTTCAATTTGTTAATGTGCTGTATCACATTGATTTGTGAATGTTGAACCATCCCACTTGGTCTAAGTGAATGATCTTTCTGATGTTGGATTTGATTGGATAATATTTTATTGAGGATTTTTGCATCTATATTCATCAGAGAAACGGGTCTGTAGTTCTCTTTCTCTGTTGTATCTTTTCCAGGTTTAGGATTTAAGGTGATGCTGGCTTCATAGAAAGGATTTAGGAGGATTCTGTCCCTTTTAATTGTTTTTGAATAGCTTCAGAAGAATTGGAGTTAGTACTTCTTTAAATGTCTGGTAGAATTCAGCAGTGATGCCATTGGGTTCTGGGCTTTTCTTTGCTGGGAGACTTATTATTAATTCAATTTCTGTCTTGGTTATTGTTTTGTTTAGGTTTTCTATGTCTTCATGGCTCAATATAGGTAAGTTGTATGTGTCCAAGAATCTATCCATTCCTGTAGGTTTCCCATTTTGTTGGCATACAGCTATTTGTAGTAGTTTCTGATGATTGTTTTTATTTCTGTGGTATCTATTCCATATCCTTTTTCATATCAATTTCATTGATTTAGGTTTCCTTTTTTTTGTTGTTGTTGTTGGTTAGTTGGGCCAATGTGAGTTTTATTTTTTCAAAAAGCCAGCTTCTCTTTTCTCTGATCTTTTGAATTTTTTGGTTTCAATTTTTTGTTCTCTAATTTTAATTATTTCTTTTCTTGTACTGTTTTTGAGTTTGGTTTGTTATTGTTTTTCTACCTCATTGAAATACATTGATAGCTCACTTATTTGGTATCTTTCCAATTCTTGATATAGGCACCAATTGCTATATACATTCCTCTTAACACTGCTTTTGCCCTATCCCATAAGTTTTGCTATGTTGTATTTTCATCTTTATTTGTTTCCAGAAATTTTTAAATTTCTTTTCTGATTTCTTCAGTGACCCACTGTTCATTCAGGAGCATATTGTTCAGTCTCCATGTGTTGCATATGTTCTAGAGATTCCTGAGTTGCTGATTTCCAGCTTCATTCCATTGTAGTCAGAGAAGATGCATGATATGATTTTGATTTTTTTATTTGCTTTGACTTGCTTTATGGCCTAGCATGTGGTCTACCCTAGAGAAGGTTCCATGCACTGGTGAGAAGAATGTGCATTCTGCATTTGTAGGATGAAAAGTTCTGTAGTTATCTGTTTGGTCCATTTGGTCTATAGTGTTAACTCTACTGTTTGCTTGCAGATATTCTGTTTGCTTGATCTGTCCATTGCTGAAAGTAGGATTTTTTTAAAAAAGATTTATTTATTTATTTATTCGAAAGAGTTACACAGAGAGAGTAGAGGCAGAGAGAGAGAGAGAAAGTGAGAGAGGGGTCTTCCATCTGATAGTCCACTCCCCAATTGGCCACAATGGCCAGAGGTGCATTGATCCGGAGCCAGGAGCTAACTCCAGGTCTCCCATGCGGGAGTAGGGGCCCAAAGACTTGGACAATCTTCTCCTGCTTTCCCAGGCCATAACAGAGAGCTGGATTGGAAGTGGTGCAGCCAGGTCTTGAACTGGCACCCATATGGGTGCCAGCGCTTCAGACCAGGGTGTTAACCCATTGCGCCACAGGGCTGCCCTTAAAGTGGGATATTCAAGTCCCCGCTACTACAGTGTTTGAGTCTATGTCTCTCTCTAGATTCATTAACATTTCTTTGAAATAGTGGGTGACCTGCAATTAGGTGCATAAACATTTATAATAGCCTCATCTTCCTGTTGAGTTGAACCCTTAATCATTACATAGTGCCTTCTTTGTCTCTTTTAACAGTTTTTGTGTGAACATCTATTTTGTCTGATATTGGGCTACACCAGCTCTTTCTTTGGTTTCTGATATCATGGAATATCTTTTTTTCATCCTTTGACTTTCAGTCTGCATGTGTCTTTGTTGGTGAGATGTGTTTCTTGTAGGCAGCAGATAGATGGGTTTTGTTTTTTAATCCATTCAGCCAGTCTGTGCCTTTTTACTAGAGAGTTGAGGCCATTTACATTCAAGTTGACTATTGATAAGTAAGGACTTGGCCCTGCCATTCCCCCATAAACATTCCTATTGTTTACTTTGGATTTCCTTTGTACTTTTACTGGGAGATTGTCCGCCCTCATCTTCTTTCATAGTGATGACCATGTTTCTGTGTGTAGTGCATCCTTAAGTACCTTTGTAATGCTGGACGAGTACTGACAAACTCAATCTCTGTTGTGGAAGGTCTTTATTTCACCTTCATTTGTAAATGAGAGCTTTGCAGAGTCCAGTATTCCAGGTTGACAGTTTTTTTCTCTTAGGACTTGGAATGTATCTCATTTCTGATGAGAATTCAGCTGTGAGTCTAATTGGAGAGCCTCTGAAAGTAACCTGGCATTTCTCTCATGCACATTTTAGAATCTTTTATGCTTTACTGTGGAGAGTTTGACTACAACGTTTTGTGGCGAAGATCTTTTCTGATTGTGTCTATTAGGAGTTCTAAGTGCTTCCTTTTTGGACATCCCTTTCTTTATGTAATTATTTCACTAAAATGGCCTGCAAATCCATTCCATCTTTCCACCCTTTCAAGAACTCCTAAGACCTGTATGTTGGGTCATTTGTTAGTATCCCATAAATTCCAATGGTGTTTTTCAGTTTTCCAATTTCTCCCCCCCCCCCTTTTTTTTTGTCCATAAAATTTTCAAAGGTTTGTTTTCTAACTTGGATATTCTCTCTTCTGCCTTACCAAGTCTGTTCTTATGGCTATCCATAGTACTTTTATTGGTTCTACTGAATCCTTCATTTCCAATAATTCCTTTTCACTTCTCTGTAAAATTTCAGTTTCATGGGAAAAAGTCTCTTTCATGCCATGTACAGGTTTCTTTAGTTAATGAATTTGCTTCTGATTACTTCTAGGTAATCCTGTGATTAGTTTTTTAATTCCATTTCTGGTGTTTTGTCAGTCTCTTCATCTTCACATTCTGGTATTGAAATGTTGTGTTCTTTTGGGGGTGTCACATTGTCCTTATCCTTGTTTCTTGAATTTCTGCATTTATTATTAGGTATTTGTGGTGATAGTTGTTGGGTTTTTTTGTTTGTTTTGGCCCTGTGATGGCTTTTATCTTTGAACTATGCCTCTGCTGTTTCAGTAATAACCCGAGTGTGTGCTATTAGTGATCAGGGAGCTCTGTTCAGTGCTCCGGGTGAGGGATGTGTCCAAGGTGACACCCAAGTTAGGTTTGGTAAATTTTTTTTTTTATCAGAGGGGAAGCTTGTTCAGCTATGTTGGTATATTCTCATGCTCCCTTCCTCTCTAAGGAGACCAGCGCCTGGGCAATAGCCCCAGTGGGTACAACTCTCATCCATGCTGCCATGAGAACAACTCAAAGTATCCCTGCAGTCCTCGGGGTGGACATGGATCCTGTAGCAGTGACCCTCACCAGGGAATCAGGGACCTCCAGCATGTGGAGCCACCACAGTGACTGCCCAGAGACCCAGCCACACCCTGCGCCCTCCGATGCAGCCAGTGTTTTCACAGTCATAGCACATGAGGCTCCCACAGTCACGGGCACCCAGCCCCCTGTCAGTTATCCCACCCAGACTCGGGAATTTCCTCTCGGCAGGTTGCTGGGCACATGGACCCCAGTGGGCACAGCTGTTATGTGTGTCCAAAATGCTGCCTGCCCTCTCAGCTCGTTATAGGACAGGACACTGGTGCCGGCAGGTCAGGGAGAAACAGAAACCCTGTTCACTGTCCCCCCTCCAGGCTCCAATCCAGACTCATACCAGACTCTTCCCACAGCCTTCTTGCCAGTGGCTTGGCCTGCAGCAGTCTGGTGTCTCCTCACTCCAAAGCTGGTGCTGAGGCTCTTGGTCGCTGGGGTCCTGAGTTGTGTGCATCCACACCCTCCACGTAGATGCACAGTGTCCCTCTAATGGTTTCTTCTGCCTTTTTCTCCCTAACTGTGCCCTGAGGTTGCAGCCTCTCACCTTTATTTTTCTTAACCATCTTCATCTAGACTAGAGCAGTAAGCTGCCTTCCTATTCTGCCCTCTTGAAAACACTATCAGCATTTATGTTGTATAACTGTATGACAATCCATCTCCAGAATTTTCTCATCTATCCTAACTGAAACCCTGTACCACAATTCCCCCTTCTCCCTTTGTCCCAGCCCTTGGTAACTCCCATTCTACTTTCTTTCTCTATGAATTGGACTGCTTTAACACCTGTTATAAGAGGTATCATAGAATATTTGCCCTTTTGTAGCCAGTTTATTTAATGTAATGTCTTTACGGTTTATCCCTCCTGTAACATATGTCAGCATTTCCTTTTTATAGCTGAATAATATTCCATCCTATGTATGTACCACATTTATCCATTCGTCTGTTGATGGATGTTGGTTTGCTTCCACCTGTTGACTGTTGTGAATAATGCTGTAATTTACAAGGTTGCGCAATTTCTCTCTTCTGGAACCTGCTTTCACTTCTTTAGGAACATAGCCAGAAGTGGAGTGGCTGGTTGATACAGGAGTGCTGTGTTTGTATTCAGAACATGCTGTGCTGTCTTGTGCAGTGACTGCAGCATTTCAAATTCCCACCAGCAGTGCACAGGGTCCCAACTGCTGCTCATCCTCACCTACACTTACTTTGTTTTTTATACTAAGAGATACAACATAATAGCTTAATGTGGTTTTGATTTGCATTTCCTAAATGACTAGTAGTTATTAGGCATCTTCTTAATGTTCCTATTGGTCAGTTGAACATCCTTTTTGAAGAACTGTCTATTCAAACTCTGCCTGTTTTTCAATTGGGTTTTATTACGTTGTAAACATTCAGTTGGAATGGTTCCACTTGGAGATTTGGGATCTGTCTGTTGTTTTGTTGTTATTCACAGCAGCAGGGTAAATAACTCCTTTCCTGGTGAAGAGAGTAGAGAGTCCATTGCTAGTTTCACTCTTGTGCAGCTGATCAGTAACGGTGCCTGTGCCAGCCCTGGGGCTCAGGCACTGTCAGCTTCCTTGGAGTCAGAGGCTGCAGGCTCACTGCTGTCCCCCTGGGCCAAGTGCTCCCTGCCACGGGGGCGGGGACTGGCGCTCTGCCTGTGACTCCGCTAAGCACCTGCGTCTCTGCTGCTGTCCGAGTCACTGTCACTGCACCACAGGCTCATCGTGCTCGTCAGAGTTGGCATCGTCCTCTAGATCGGCATCGCAGCCAGAGATCATCTGCTTGTCCCAGGAGGCCTGGGCTCTCCTGCTCGCCACTGCCACTCTTGTCACTCGCCTCGTCCCTGTCACCCCTCTCCTGTTCACTCTCGCTGCCTGAGCATGCGTCTTCACTGCCGCTGCCCTTCTCACCCTCATCTGTCAGGTAGCAGAGAGGTGCCAGTCACGATTCCCGTCCCGCTCCTGGGGCCCCAGCGCTGGCCTGACCTGCCTGACCTGAGCCCCCAGCCTCGTTCTCTCCTGCCTCCATCTCTCCTCTTTCCCCTCCTCGGGTTCCTGGTTTTCCGCCTGGGCTTTGCATGCCTGCTGGAAGCAGCAAAACTGGAGGGGGCGGGGGAAGGCAAGTGCTGTATTAGGCTCTGTCCTTCCCCTCACCTACCACTCTCCCCTGGCCGGCAGAGCCTTGCTACCTGGGCTTCCAGCTCAGGTAGTCACACCCCGTGTTTGAGGACCACAGGCAGGACCTTGGAGCCTGACTGCACCCCAGCCTTGCAGCACTTCCCGAGGCAGACCCTGGAGTGGGCGTGAGATGGGGGCATGGAGGAATGTTGCCCTCCTCAGTGAGGACGCAAGTTGGACGAGGTTCCCTTTCCATGTGTGGCCCAGCACAGACCAGAATAAACATGTATTGTAGAAGGGAGACTATCTCAAGGGATTGGGGGAGGGGTGGGGAAGATGGTCAGTTTGTCTTGCCCCATGCTATGTCTGTCTGTCTACATATTTGTACACATACACACATATCTTCAGAAGGTAGTGGGAAACAAAAGATTAACTTGGCACAAAAAATTGAAATATGTACATAATTTTTTAAAAGATTTTATTTATTTGAAAGTCAGGGTTACACAGAGGAGAGGCACCGAGAGGTCTTCCATCTGGTGGTTCACTCCTCAGATGGCTGTGACGGACAGAGCTGCACCGATCTGAAGCCAGGAGCCAGGAGCTTCTTCTGGGTCTCTCACACAGGTGCAGGGGCCCAAGGACTTGGGCCATCTTCCAGTGCTTTCCCAGGCCATAGCAGAGAGCTGGTCGAAAGTGGAGCAGCCGGGTCTTGAACCGGCGCCCATAAGGGATGCCGGCATGTCAGGCCAGGACATTAACCCGCTGCGCAACAGTGCTGCCCCTGGACATATTTTATAAAATGTTTCCTGTGAGCTTTCTGAATATTCTGCTTATGCATAGATTTTTCATTGCTCCAAAATAAACATTTTAATCCTCCCCCCCAAAAAATAACTTATGCAATTGACAGTTCATTATTTAAGCACCTGTATGTCTGGAAAATTTTGCTTGCATTTGCACTGGTGTGCTAAAATTTGAGCCTGAAGAAATAGTAGTTTGAGTCTTACCAGGACCCCCTCCCCCTGCAGCACTTCTGGCCACCTCACTGCCCTGCCAAGTTCATTACCACCATAAGCCCAGCCTAGTGCACCGAGGTCTCCTGTACTCCCCTTTCCTGGGCAGCCAGAGCATCCTCCCTCCTCCAAGCATCTCCTTTCTATGCCTTTCTACCAGGACAAGTTCTTTGGTCATCTTCTTCAATCGAGGTGACTTTTTATGCCATTCAAAGGCTCTAGCAACCCAGAGTGAAAGAGAGGAAGGGGAGTGATATGGAAAAGCATTTGGGAGTGGCCTGTAGGACTGATTTTGGTTTTGTTAACCATTTAAACACAGACGGTGTAGTACTCCAGTATCAGGGAATGGACACTGCCCACATAGACCACTGAAGTTGTACATTTTTGGTCTTGTATAGATCCTCCCCTACACAGCACTGCTATATATGCTGATGAAGAAGAACTCTCCCAACACTGTGGGTCATCTGTCCCTTCAACTCCTCCAGGAAAAGCAACGAAAGAAAGGTAGGGTTACGTCAAGCTATTGTTGGTTCACGCTCTGAGATTTCTGGGAAGTTCTTCAAGTTAGAAGCTAATAAAACCCAAGTTTTGACATTTATTTTGAGAATGTGAACATTAAAAACTAATTTCTCTATAATTGGCATTACCTATAATAATTTTTGTAATTAACATAATTGACACCTGAATGACCCAGAATACCTGCCTGTAGTGGTCTCGTTTGTTTTCTTCTGCTGTAGTAATAGGAATATTTTTCCCCCTTCTAGTAATAGAATGGTTTTAGCTGGACACATGGCTGTCAGAATTCTAAACATACTGTCTCCGTGCTGTTGCAGCTGAGATGTGTGTGTGTGTGATTAGATTCTAGCTAAAATGGAGTCTCACTTCTGAAAGTATCTTTGTGGGGAGGATTGTGCTCTTCTGTTTTCCATCCTTCTTCCTCCTGGTTAGAATGGGATGTGGTGGTGAAGACCGAGCAACCATGTTGGGCCGTGAGGCGGTGTACTGAGAGAGCAATGGATACAAGGCACCTGGGTCTCCTGATAACGGGACTACTACACCAGCCCTAAATTATTCTGGAGTTTGGCCAAGAAGGAAAGACAAGTGTCTTATCCGAGCCATTTTGGGAATATATTTTTTACAATGTGCAGCCATCCTAATTCTCTCTCGTAAACTTGGTAAAGAGAGTTTTATCCTTATCCTAAGAGCAGTTGGAGGGTTTTAAGTAGGGGATGACATGGTAGGATCTACATTTAAAAATTACCAGCCTCGCTGCTGTCTGGCAAGTGGATTTGAGAGAGACAAGAATGGCATAGGGAGCCCAGTTTGGATGCTGTAGACTCAGGTCATCACGGCAGAGGTGGAGAGAAGTGGATGGACTTGAGAAGTAGGAGGCAAATGAGCAAGACTTAGTGATGTGCTGACTTCGCAGCACGGGACGAGTTGCTACCGGTGGTAACTCCTGAATTCCTTGCCTGCTTGAATGGATTGATGATGGTGCCATTGACTAAGATACGGGCTGCTGGGACATGGAGTTGTGTGGGCAGATCATCAGTTTGACATGGAGATGTCAGAGACCCTGTGTATTTGAGTCTGGAACTCAGAGCACAGGGCTGAGCTTAAGTTAGACGTTCTTTGCACGCGGATGGTATGAAGCTAACCTGAGAGGAGGCAAGGGCCTGGGACTAACCCATAAGAGGCCATGGCATCTACTGCCTGAGTAGAGAAGGAAGTTGTAGAGGAGAGAGGGGGAAAGTGGCTGGAAAAGAGAGAGGAGAACCAGGGCAGTGTTTATTCACAGAATTGTGTGTGTGTGAGTGAGGTGGGGGGAGGGAAATGGGAGAGAGGAGGGAGGGAGAGAAATTAAGTAAGGAGGGTCAAATGCAGCTGAGAAGCACGTGAGGCGAGGCCTGAGCACGAGCGTTCTTTGCATTTAACCAGAGACTGTTCTCGGTAACCTTGGTTTTGGTGTCATGTCAAGTCCCAACAAGAGACATCATTTGGGTAAGTAATGCAGGTAAACAGAAAAGGAAGTTGGGGCAGCAGGGACGCACCCACTACAGAGAGGCCAACAGCATTTCTCAGAAACCAGGTATGAAACCCAGGTCCTCAGGTGTGGAATTTGGGCATAGTCATCATTAGCCTAAACGCCCACCTGAGGCCTCAGTTTTAAAGTGAGTGCATTTGTGGTTGATGTTACGTGTTTGATGGATTGTATTGAATGAAAAGATGAAAATTCTCACCTTCCATCAGAAGTCAGGGTTACTTTTAGGGCGAAAGAGGAGATTCCCTGTTGGATCACCAGAGTTGAGTCTAGTGGATTAGCTTTTGGTACAGAGGACGGCCCTGGTAACCTGGAGGAAGGCGCAGTTCTCGGACATGACCAAACTGCAGCAGCCCTGGAGCGCTGCCGTCTGCCCGCCTGGGACAAACCAATGTGGCTGGGTCTGGGAGGCGGCCAATGAAACTAGGAAGGCGACCGGCCTGCCCGTGACAAACTGGCTAGCCCCAGAGTAAACTGAGCGGTGCTCGTGTCGGGGGAGCAGCTCGTAGAACCGTGTGCGAATGTGTGCAAGATACTGATGGCTTGTTCTTTCCTACAGCTTGAGCACTTCTGCAAGTGAAGCAAGTGAAAGCGCGTCTGTAAAACTGAGAGCCACAAAGGTACGTGCGCCTGTTCTTCAGACTCCGACAGGCATTTCACACTCCAGTTGACTGTGGAGAGTGTTCTGTGGCGGCAGTTTTCATAAAGCGCTATGTTCCAGAGGATGTTTTTGGGCTAAAAGTGAGTTTTTAAAACCTGAAGTGCTTTTCGTTAAGGCACGGTGCAGACGCCTCTGCCAGTTTTCAGAGCGGTGGCGCGCCGTGTTGGGGCTGGGGCCTCAGCGGCAGAGGGGATGGTGGGGAGTGTTGACGTGGAGCTCTGGCTTGTAGATTTCCTGTTCTGTCCACTGCTCAGCTGCCATCTCCCTGGGCTATAGAAGCTCGCTCCGCAGCGTGGCGCCATTGCCGCCAGGAGGGTGAGCGGTCGTGTTTTCCAGACCCGTGACGCTGTTTGCTTCTCGCAGCCAGGAAGAAGATGTAAGCCCCTTAGCGATGGCTCTGACAGCTCGGGAGAAAGTGAGATACGAAGAAAAGTTCAGTCACCAGAGAGAATCGGTGCGCGACGGTGTGACACTGTTCCGGCCGGGGCGCCGTCGGGGCTTCCCGAGAGACGGCCGCGGTCAGAGAGGCCCGAGGCGGGAGGCGGCCGTGGCAGCGGTGCACCTGCGGACGGAGGGACCCCGGCCGTGGTGAGGCCGCCCCGTGGGATAGAAAAGGTTTACTGGAAAATGGTGTATTTTCTTTACTTCCTTCTGTTCTTTCAAACGATGAATGTTACATTCTTCTGTTGATAAACATGTTTTAGGAAATCTAGAAGAGAACATCAAACTCCCCTCCGCTTCTGCAGCCCCAAACTAGCCTCGGGGATCCTCAGCCCTACGGCTGGGCATTTCTCACCCTCGGTGGGCTCCCGCACTGGTCATGAAGTACCCCACAGTGCCTTTCTAACAGACACAAACAGGGGCCGCCAATGTGGCACAGCAGGTCAAAGCCCCAGTCTGCAGCCCGGGCATCCCATACGGACGCCAGCTCAGGTCCCGGCTGCGCCACTTCCGAGCCAGCTCCCTGCTGTTGTGCCTGGGAAAGCAGCAGAAGATGGCCCAGCTGTTGGCCCCTGCACTGATATGGGAGGAAGCTCCTGGCTCAGCTCTGGCCCTTGCAGCCATCTGGGGAGTGAACTGGTGGGTGGAAGACCTCTCTCTCTCCCTACCTCTGTCTGTAACTCTTTCAAATAAAGAAATATTTTTTAAAACATGCAAAACATTCTGTCCACGGATATGCCGCAGTTTAATTACTCTTATTAATGAATAACTGTACTTAGACAGTTTTTAAGTGCCTTCATGAAGCCTTTTGTAGCTAAATCTTGGTGTGCACCCCTGATCATTTCCTTAAAAAAAATTCTGATAAAATTCCTCAGAATTTGTTCTAAGATCCTTGACATATTTTGGTCAAGTTGTTAATATGTCACTGTACTCACTTGGTTTAACATTTTGAATAAATAATTCATGTCATGTTTGGAAAAATGTTACAGAATAGTAAAATGTTCCTGCTACCCCATTTTCCACTCTCCACCTTCCCACTCACTAAATGTACACATAGGTAATTAGTTTCTTACATATTCTTCCAGAATTTCCTTCTGCATGTACGAGGAAATATCAATATATTTTCTTATTTCTTTTCATTTATTTCAGAGAGTTACAGAGAGACAAGCAGAATGGGGGCGGGGGTGATCTTCCATCCACTGGGTCACTCCCCAGAAAGAGAGAGAGAGAGAGGTCTTCCATCCTTCCATCCACTGGTTCACTCCCCAGATTGGCTGCAACTGCCATGGCTAGGCCAGGCTGAAACTGGGGTTAGCAGTTTCATCCAGGTCTCCCATGTGGGTGGCAGGGGCCCAAGAACTTGGGCCATCTTCCACTGCTTTTCCCAGGCCATCAACAGGGAGTTGGATCGGAAGTAGAACAGCTGGGACAGGAACTGGCACCCATGTGGGATGCCAGCATTGTAGGTGGCAGCTTTGCCTGCTGTGTCACGACATAGGCCCCTGCGCTATGCATGTTCTGCCTCTTACTTACTAGGTCTGTCTCGGTGAACATCCCTGTGACTTGAATTTGCAGTTGTCAGGCATGGTGTTCTGAAAGTCAGCTGACGTCGAGTTGGCTGATGGTGAAGTTAAGATGCTGTGGGTCCTTCCTGCTTTGGTTGTTTGGAGGGTTTTTTCATTTTGTTTTTTGATGAGGGGCGTCATAGTCTACTTGATCTGACAGATACATAGATTTTTTTTAACACCATAACGTGATGAATTTTCTTTAGTTCTTTGAAGTTTTGTGTTATGAACTTGAAGCTTTGTTTTCCCCTAAAGCTTTTTATCATTATATATTATTTTAAATTATTTATGGGATACATGTGATGTTTTGATATATATATATTGTGAATGATTAGCTCAAGGTAATATATCCATCCACCTGTACACTTACCCTTTCTTGTACTGAAACATTTGAAATTTCTCATAGCTATTTTTGAGATATACATTGTTATTTGCTGCAGTCATTAGGCTGTGTGATAGATCTCAAACACTTATTTCTCTTGTCTTTCTGAAGCTTTGTACCTTTTTTTAAAAAATATTTATTTATTTATTTATTTATTTGAAAGGCAGAGTTAGAGAAAGGGAGAAATAGGGAGACAGGGGGATCTTCCATCTACTGATTCACTCCTCAAATGGCCACAACAGCTAGGGTTGGATCAGGCCAAAGCCTGGAGCCAGGAGCTTCATCCAGGTCACCCACATGGGTGCAGGGGTCCAAGTAGTAAGGATATCTTCTGCTGCTTTCCCAGGCACATCAGCAGGGAGCTGGATCAGAAGTGGAGCAGCCAGGACTCGAACTGGTACCCTTGTGGGATGCATTATACGGGCCCTGCTTTGTACCCTTGAATGAGTACTTCCCTACTCCCGCCTCTCCCCAGCCTCTGGGAACCACCATTCCACTCCATATAAAGCTGTTTCTAATTGTGTGTTTATTTAAGTATGTGTCTTTCTGATGAACGGCTTCTAGTATTATTATGAAATCTTGAAAATCTATGTTGTGAGATCTTAATATAGCTACAAGAGCCTTCTTAAGCTTACTTTGCATGGTAAACTTTTTAATTCATTAATTTTCAATTTGTTTTTGTCTTTAAATTTAAAAAGGACTTCAGGCAGCAAGTCCTTATCCTGGTTTGATGGCCTCTGCCTTTGGATTGGATTGTTTGTTCATTTGCTTGTAATGTAATTATTGAAATGGTTTGGTTTAAGTCAACTATTTTGCTGTTTATTTTCCATTTGTATCTCCTGTCCCACCAATTCTCTAAAAATCCATTTTTATATAATTTTAGATATTCAACTCAATCTTAGTATTTTCCATTTCTTGTTTTTCTGTCCTTCTATTGCTAATTTTTGATTAATTGAATATTCTTCAATATTCTGCTTTATTTTCTCTATTAGCTTATGAGCCATGCTTTTTTTTTTTTTTTTTTTTTTTGTTAGCAGTCACTTCTAGATTAAAAATGTGCATCCTTAGGACCGGCGCTGTGGTGTAGCAGGTAAAGCTGCCACCTGCATGCCAGCATCCCATATAGCTGCCAGTTTGAATCTGGGCTGCTCCACTTCCCATCTGGCTCTCTGCTATGGCCTGGAAAAGCAGTAAAGGAGGCTTAAGTCCTTGGGCCGCTGCATCCACATGGGAGATCTGGAAGAAGCTCCTGGCTCCAGATCGGTGCAGTTCTGTTCATTGCGGCCATCTAAGAAGTGAACCAGCAGATGGAAGACTCTCTCTTCTTTCTCTCTCTCTCCCTCTCTCCCTCTCTCCCTCTCCCTCTCTCCCTCTCTCCCTCTCCCTCTCCCTCTCCCTCTCCCTCTCTCCCTCTCCCTCTCTCCCTCTAGCCCTCTCTCCCTCTCTCCCTCTCTCCCTCTCTCCCTCTCTCCCTCTCTCCTCTCTCCCTCTCTCCCTCTCTCCCTCTCTCCCTGCCTCTCCCTCTCTCCCTGCCTCTCCCCTATTCCTTCCTTCCCTCCCTCCCTCTGCACTTCTGTAACTCTGCCTTTCAAATAAATAAATACATAAATCTTTTTTAAAATTTCTTTATTTGACAGAGTTAGACAGTGAGAGAGAGACAGAAAGGTCTTCCTTCCGTTGGTTCACTCCCCAAATGGCCCCTGTGGCCGGAGCGATGCCGATCCAAAGCCGGGAGCCAGGTGCTTCCTCCTGGTCTCCCATGTGGGTGCAGGGGCCCAAGCACTTGGGCCATCCTCCACTGCCTTCCCGGGCCACAGCAGAGAGCTGGACTGGAAGAGGAGTAACTGGGACTAGAACCTGGCGCCCATATGGGATGCCAGTGCCGCAGGCGGAGGATTAACCAAGTGAGCCACGGCACCAGCCCCAATAAGTAAATCTTAAAAAAAAAAAAATGCATCCTCGGAAGTAGGCACTTGGGTTAGCAGTTATGATGCCCATGTGCCACCTGGGAGTACCTGGGCTTGATTGCCATCTCCTGACTCCAGCTTACTGCCAGTGCAGTACCTGGAAGGCAGCAGGTGATGGCTCCAGTGATCCGTCCTTTCCAAAGGCCCCAGCTGTTGCAGGCCTTTGGAAAGCGAACCAGCAGATGGGGGTTCTCTTGCAGGTTCTTAAAAAAATATTACGTGTGTGTGTGTGTGTGTACCCATACACACACATCCTTAAATTAGCAATCTATTTGGAATCAGTGTGTTACTTTGTCATCCTTGTATATCCTACTTCATAGCTGACAATTTCTTCCCACTATATAATGTAATTACATAACAGTATAATTTCATTTATTCATCCCCCATCCTCTGTACTATTTTTGTCATATTTTACTTATAGATGGTAAATCTGACCTCACAATATTCATTTTTTTAAAGATTTATTTATTTGAGTGAGAAGCAGAGTTTCAGATTTACAGAGACAGAAAAATCTTCCATCTACTTGTTCACTCTCCAAATGGCCACAACAGCCAGAGTTGAGCTGATGAGGAGCTAGGAGCTCTGGGTCTCCCATGTGGGTGTAGGCGCCCAAGCACTTGGGCCATCTTCCACGGCTTTCCCAGATCAGAAGAGGAGCCGCCAGGACTTGAACTGGTGCCCATGTGGGATGCAGTGACACAGGCGGGGGCTTAGTCCCCTATGCCACAGCGCCAGCCCAAATACTGTCATTCTTGATTGAGGCAGTGTTTTTAAGGAAATGATAAGAAGAAAAAATGTGTCATCTTTTTACTTTTGCCCTCTCACTTCTCCTTTCCAGTTCTCTTATCACCTTCCTACAGATCTGAGTTTCATCTTTTCCCTTCAGCCTATGGAGCATTCCTAGCATTCCTCTTATTTCTGGTCTGGTGGTGACAGCCTGTTAGATTTTATCTGAAAGTATCTTTATTTCACCTCTATTTTTAAAGAATATGTCACTTGATGTAGAATTAGGAGTTGACAGTTTTCCTCCAGCTTTTTGAAGATGTCATTCTGTTGTCTCCTGATTCCGGCTGGTTCTCAGCTGAATTTGATGAGAAGTCAAGGAGTTTGTTGGTGGTTCTCATGTGTATTTACAATGTCTGAATCCTCTGGCTGCTGTCAACATTTCTTTTTTTTTTTTTTTAATTTTTAATTTTTTTGACAGGCAGAGTTAGACAGTGAGAGAGAAAGAGACAGAAAGGTCTTCCTTTGCTGTTGGTTCACCCCCAAAATGGTCACTACGGCCGGCGCGCTGTGCCAATCCGAAGCCAGGAGCCAGGTGCTTCCTCCTGGTCTCCCATGCAGGTGCAGGGCCCAAGCACTTGGGCCATCCTCCACTGCCTTCCTGGGCCACAGCAGAGAGCTAGACTGGAAAAGGAGCAACCAGGACAGAACTGGTGCCCCAACCGGGACTAGAACCCGGAGTGCCGGCGCCGGAGGCAGAGGATTAGCCTAGTGAGCCGTGGCGCCGGCGGTTTTGAACATTTCAATCATGGTATACCTGGATAGATCATCATATTATTTATCTTGCTTGAGGTTTGCTGAGATGCTCAGATCTGTAAGTCAGGAAATTATCAGCCATTATTTCTTCAAATGTAGTTTTTCTACCCCATTCTCGCTGTCTTCTTTTTGAACTTCAATGTATTTTAGGTCATTGAGTATTTGTATTCAGGTCTCTGAGACTCTGATCATATTTTTTGGAATCTCTTTTCTCTCTGATCTGCAAATTAGATAAACTTTTTGGTATTTTCAAGTTTACTGGCCATTATTTTGCCCTTTATAATCTGCAAATAAGCCCATATGTCATGGGCAGAATTGTGCTCCTTCCCCCAAAATATATATCCACATCTTTTTTTTTTCTGTTTTCCTTAAAATTTATTTATTTATTGGAAAGAGTTACAAAGAGAGGAGGAGAGTCAGATCTTCTATCCAGTCGTTCGGCACTTACGGCTAGGCAAGGAGCCAGCTTTATCTGGATCTCCCATGTGGGTGGCAGGGGCCCAAGCACTTAGACCATCTTCTGCTGCTTTCCCAGGCCATTAGCAGGGAGCTGGATCAGAAGTGGAGCAGCCAGGGCTTGAACAGACACCCATGTGGGATGCCAGCACCACAGGCAGAGGCTTAACATACTATACCACAGTGCCAGCCCCTCAAATTTTAAAACATTTTTTAAGTGTAGGTCATAAAAAGAGAAAGCACTTGGCAAAGATTTGATCTCGCCATGGATGGGCTTATACAATAAAATGTAAATGTGATTAGACTGTAGACAGTAAGATAAAAGGCGCTCTTACAAAAATCAGCAAATGAAGCATATTTTAAGTTTTAATGTAAAGGTTGAAGATTCACATTATGAAAATTAAAAATCTATTCAAACCCCTCTGTGACAGGAGTCTCCTGTCACCATTTCCCAAGCCTGCCCTCCCCCTCCCATCCATTGATGATTCCCCTCCCACCAGCAGCAGTCTCCCCCTGTACAGGCAGATGGCTGTCATGAAACCCACTCAATGGATCCTTTGGCTACAGCAACACAAAGACAACGCCTGACCTTTCTTTCCCGCCCAGGTCCAGTAGGCCACTGGCTGTCCATCCTTCTGAGTACAGACTGGTGCTTTACATGATGTGGTGTGTGTGGGCAGGAGGAAAGCACACGGCATGTGTGTCTTGGGAGTCATTCTAGATTACTAAGCACATTCTCCAGTAATTCTTTCAAAGGGGATACACAAGAAACAAATGTCCTGAATTCTTCAATATCGAAAAACACCTTTGTTTTACCCTCAAAATCAGATGCTAATTTGGCTGGATACAAGATTCTCGGCTTAATGCCTTTTTCCTGCAGAACTTTGATGATATTGGCCCACTTACTCCTAGCATCCAGGGTGCCCAATGATAAGTCTGCAGTCAACCTGATTCTAGTTCCTCTGTAGGTTATTTCTTTCCTTTCTCTGGAAACCTTTATGATTTTCTCTTTATCACTGGAATTGCAAATTTTCACCAAGATGTGTCAGGAGTGATTCTGTTTTCATCAATCTTACTGGGTATTCGGTGTGCACTGACCATCTCAAGACTTGAATCTTTCTTCAGCTCTGGAAAGTTTTCTTCAACTATTTCTCTTATTAGGTCCTCTGCACTGTTCTCTTTATTTTCTTTTTCTGGAATACCTATCAAACAGATATTGGCACTTCTGGATCTATCCACATCTTAACTCCAGGTTCTCCTCTGTTGTGAGTGGCCATAAATGTCATCAGAGGTATCCTTATAAGAGAGGCAGAGGAGATCAGACAGAACAGTGGATGTGAAGGGGGCAGGGATTGGAGTGGCCATGGGTGAAGCTGGAAGAGGTGAGGAGTGAGTATTCCCATACGTCTCCAGAGGGCGTGCTGTCCTGCCCAGACCCTGACTTTGGGGCACTGAAGGGATTCACACTTGGCCTTCAAAACTGTCAGAGGATACATTTCAGTTTTTAAGCCGCTAAGTTTGTAGTAATATGTTACAGCAACCACTAGAAGAAAATGTACCATCCAATAAGATTCTTTTTCTCTTTAGATGTAAGATGTTTGGTTCTGGAATTTGCTTTTTTTATATAGTTTATATTTCTATGCGATTCCTATTTAGTTAAGACTATTTTTTTTTTTTTTACTTGTGAAGTAACATGATAACTCCTTTAAAGTGTTTGTTTACTAAATCCACCGTGGCCTTCTTCAGGCTGGTTTCTTTTAAAGATTTATTTATTTATTTGAAAGTCAGAGTTACACACACAGAGAGAGAGAAAGAGAGAGAGAGAGAGGTCCTCCATCTGATGGTTCACTCTCCAGTCGGCCGCAACGGCCGGAGCTGCACTGATCCAAAGCCAGGAGCCTCTTCCAGGTCTCCCACGCGGGTGCAGGGCCCAAGCACTTGGGCCATCTTCTACTGACTTACCAGGCCACAGCAGAGTAGATCAGAAGAGGAGCAGCCGGGACTAGAAGCAGCATACATATGGGATGCTGGTGCTTCAGGCCAGGGTGTCAACCCACTGTGCCACAGTGCCAGCCCCCAGGCTGGTTTCTAATACATACTTTTTCTGTCTTTATGAGTCATGTTTTGCTGTGTGATTTTTTTTTTTTTTTAAGATTTATTCCCATGAAAGGCAGAGTGACAGGATTCTTCCATCTGCTGGTTCACTCCTCAGATGGCCACAGTGACTGGGGCTGGGCCTGGTCACAGCCAAGAACTCCACCCTGGTCTCCCACAAGGATCAGGAACGCCAAGTACTTGAGCCAACTTCCACTGCTTTCCCAGGCACAATAGCACGGATGGATCAGAAGTGGAGCAGCTGGGACTGGAACCAGCACTCTGATGTGGGATGCTGGAGTTCAGGCAGTGGCTTACCCCACTTGTCACAACTCTGGTCTCCACCGTGTGACATTTTCAGTCTAGTAGTTTTCAGTTGTGTAATGGACATGGTAGGTTGTGAGATTCCAATTTCTGTATCGGCTTGTGAATAGTGTTGACTTTTATTCTGGCAGGTAGCTTGATTATTGGCTGATCATCATGAATTTTATCAGCTTTTTTTTTTTTTTTAACTTTTGTGAGGTTCAATTTGTGGAAAGCCTAAGGTGTTTTCCCAGCTTCTCTACCTCAGTGGAACTCAACCTCTCTATTTGTTTTCAACAGCTGCCTACCAGATTACCGTGAACGTTAGTGGCTTCAAACATACATTTATGGTCTCTCAATTTCTGTAGGTCAGGAGTCCGAGCTCGCCTTAGCTGGATTCTCTGCTCAGGATCTCAGAAGGCTGAAATCTCATCAGAGACTCAGAGCGAGGGTACTCAGTTGTTGGTAGAATTCAGTGCTTGCACTTGCAGCACTGAGGCACCTGTTCCCTGTGTAGTTGTAAGCTAGGGGCTTGCTCTCCACTCCCAGCATCAGCCCACAGGTCCTAGTCAGGCAGCTGGCTCACAGGATCCATCTTCAAACCAAGCCAGTCACCTCTCCAGTGTGCCCCGGTGCACTCAAGTGCCTTTATTACCTGAGGATTTTTTTGTTGTTGTTTTTTAAACATTTATTTTATTTATTTGAAAGAGTTACAGAGAGGTAGAGAGGGAGAGAGAGTCTTCCATCTGCTGGTTCACTCCCCAGATGCCCACAGTGGCTGGAGCTGGGCCGATCCAAAGCCAGGAGCCAGGAGCCTCCTCTGGGTCTCCCACGCGGGTGCAGGGGCCCAAAGACTTGGGCCATCTGCTGCTGCTATCTCAGGCCATAGCAGAGAGCTGGATCAGAAGGGGGCAGCCAGGACTCGAACTAGCGCCCATATGGGATGCTGGAACTGCAGGTGCCGGCCCCACCTGAGGGGTTTTCATCTACAGGACTGACCATACAGTTCCTCCCCTCCCCTTACCACAACTTACTTGGCGACCACCCACAGCAGCCCCTACCCCCTTCTGCGCTCAGGACGCTGCACCAGCTTCAGTTAGCTGGCCCTTCGTTTCTTGTGGGAATCCTGTGTGGGAATGCCCACTGTGTTATGGCAACAGTTCAGTGAGGTTTCTCTCTTGTTCTTCTGTCTTACATGTCAACTTAACTTGTAGTTCAACCAGAGAACCTAGAGGGGTGGAACGGAGGTTTTTCCCCTGTAAGAGCTTTAAGAACGTTACTTCCTTATAGCTGGAAACAGAAATGTGACCTGATTCTGCACGTTGTAATCTTACACAGTGGAAGCTCCACTTTCTCCCTCGCAATGATTGTTAAAAGTCCACTCAAAGTCTTGTGAAAATTTAATTTTTTGGTAATGTTTTCTTAAACGAATTTAGATAATTGATATAAGTAATTTAGAACTAAGGAATTATAGTTAAAATACTGATTGTGTTTGCTAAGTCATCTTAAGGCTTATGTTTTAAGAATGAATACCTCTTCAATAAAAACATGTGCTTTATAATTTTTATAGGAAACTCAGAAAAAGGAGACTATGTCTCGTGGCAAAAGGAAAAAAACAAGCAATGAAGCTGGAGATTCAGGTACAGGATGGTGTTTTATTTCTTTGTAGTTTATTTACTTATGCAGAGCCACCTCCCTTCTGCTGATTCCCTTGCCCCAAATGCTTACAACAGCTAGGGCTGGGCAAGACTGAAGTCAGGAACTCGTTCCAGGTCTCCCACGTGTGTGCCAGGGACCCAGCTAGCGGAGCCATGACCTGCTGCCTCCCAGGGTGCACATCAGTGGGAAGGCGGAACTACGACTTGGGACTGGAACGCAGGCCCTTGAGTATGGGGTGTGGGTCTCTCAGCAAATAAACCAACTGCCAAATGTCTGCCCCAGAATATGCATGATACTTTGTCACTTAGTCAAAGATGTAATGGAAAAAAGTGCTGATTGGTGAAAACAGTAAATTGTTACTGCTACTTTGAAAAATGAGGCATGTGTGACTTTGAGGTAACTATTTTTAATGTTTTGTTGTGAAAATTTTCAACATACAACAAACTGAATTTTACTGTGTATATTCACCTACTATCTGGATCTCACAGTTAACACTTGAGTTGTTACTTTGTCCATTAATCCATTTAATTCTTTAATGCATTTCAAAATAAATTTGACATTAGTACATTTCTTTTGAATTATTTCAATGTATACATCATTAGCCAGAGTTCTATGCTTGTTTACCATTTTTTCTTTTTCTTTTTTTTTTTTTTAAAGATTTATTTGGGGCCAGCACTTTGGTGTAGTAAATTAAGCCTCCACCTATGGCACCGGCATCCCATATGGGCACTGGTTCGTGTCCTGGCTGCTGCTCTTCCGGTCCAGCTCTCTGCTATGGCCTGGGGAAGCAGTAGAAGATGGGCCAAGCGCTTGGGCCCCTGCCACCCATGTAGACACCAGGATGAATCTCCTGGCTTTGGATCAGCCAAGCTTCAGCCATTGCAGCCATTCAGGGAGTGAACCAGCTGATAAAAGATTCTCTCTCTCTGGATCTCTCTGTGTGTGTGTGTGTGTCTCTGTCTCTCTCTGTCTCTCTCTCTCTCTCTCTCTCTCTCTCTCTGTTTCTCCCTCTCTGTAACTCTGCCTCTCAAATAAGTAAATCTTAAAAGATTTTGAGAGGCAGAGTTACAGATTGAGAGAGAAAAAGACATCCTCTGTTAGTTCAGTGTCCAAATGGCTACAATGGTCAGTGCTGGGACAGGCTGAAGCCAGGAGCTAGGAGATTCATCCTGGTGTCCCACATGGGTGGCAGGGGCCCAAGCACTTGGCCACCCTCCATGGCTTTCCTATCACATTAGCAGGGAGCTGGGTAGGAAGTTGGACCATCAGGGACTCTAACTGGTGCTTATATGCAGCAGACTTAACCTGCTGTACCACAACACTGCCCCCCTAGTTCTTTTCTGTTAATGTAAAATGTGCATACAGTGAAATGCCTAGATCTTGGGTATATAATAGCTGAATTTTGGGAAATGCAAACACTTGTGTAACTCAAACCACTATTAACATAAAGATGCTTCCCATTCCTCCCGAAATTTCCCTGTTCCCTTTGATGCCTGTCCCCTCTTCACATTCCCAGAGACAGGGACTTTGGCGCTCTTGTTTTCTACCATAGATTAGCCTTGCTTGGTGTGGGATTTCGCATGGATGGACTCCCACAGCATGTGCTCTGCTGTGGGTCCGCCTTGGTGTTGTGTGTGATGTCTGTCGTGTGTGGCATTCTGCTGCACCGCTGCACCACAGCCCCGCCGGTGCTCACGGATGGATGCTGACTGGATTCCAGGTTTTGGCCCTCATGAATAAAGCTGCCGTGAACCTTCTCTCACACATTTCCTTGTTAACACGTGTTTTGGTTTCTCTTGGGAAAATATAAAGAGTAGAGCTGCTGAGTCCTAGGGTAGTATATGTTTAATTTTACAAGAAATGACCAAATGTTAAAAACCATATGCCCAAAGTGATTGTGTGATTTTACACACCCACTAGAAGCTAAGGTGTAGATTTTTTTTTTTTTTTTGGACAGGCAGAGTTAGAGAAAGGTCTTCCTTCCATTGGTCACCCCGAAATGGCCCCTATGACCGGCGCACTGCGCCAATCTGAAGCCAGGAGCCAGTGCTTCCTCCTGGTCTCCCATGCAGGTGCAGGGCCCAAGCACTTGGGCCATCCTCCACTGCACTCCCGGGCCACAGCAGAGAGCTGGCCTGGAAGAGGAGCAAATGGAACAGAATCTGGCGCCCTGACCAGAACTAGAACCCAGAGTACCAGTGCCGCAGGCGGAGGATTAGCCTAGTGAGCTGAGGCGCCGGCCTGCAGTGTAGAATTGACTAAGAATAGAATGAGCAACTTCACGGGAAATAAATTTAAAATAGATGCAAAGGAGATACGTCTCCACTCTATCCCTGACTGTAGCATATAAACCTGTAGAAAAGAAGGCTGACAAAACTAGCTCTTCAAGATCACAACCAGGATAATCCTACAACCACCAGGGAAATACAGTCACTAGAGAAAAACATTCCTGTGGAGACAAGCAAGAAGCAGTTAAGGCCTAGTTCCAGGCGATTTTCCGGGTGAGCCTAACAGCCACTTAAGGAACCCTCCACTCTAAGCCTGCGACAGTGACGTGGAAGGAGAGAAGGGAAGGTGCCCCGTGCGTCTCTGCAAACCTGCTGAATGCAGGACGAGATGGGGAAGGGCTGTGGCCATGTCCCCGCGCGGGAAGCCCAGCTGATGCCCTCTGTCTCCCACCCACATGACAGTCGTTTCAAGTGGAGAGAAGACTTCATTTGTGGGAGGTATGATCTGACAACTTTTAGAGAAAGTACAGGAGTGTATGACTCTGAATTCTTACAGAAGACACAAAAAGGTTAACTGTAAAGGAAATGAATAAGTTTAACTGATAAAATCAAGGGCTTGTGCTCATCCAGAGACCATGAAGAAAGGCACAGGGTGAGACTCAAACAGCAGTAGCACATGGGGGGATGCACACACTGCCAGCCCGGTAGAAGGAATGGGCAGGTGGCATTATGGATTTTTACCGGAGAAGAAACAGTGAAAGAAAGGTTCAAAGACAGTCCATTATGAGTGACAGAAATGTCAGCTTCAGTTACGATGAGACCCTTCTGCACCTACAGTAGCAGGATTCGTGCACAGAGACAAGACACCAAGGCTTTTAGTAGGAAGTAGTCTTTTTATTATTTATGCCAGCATAAGGCCCAGGTGGAATTTCTTATCTAAAAGCCTAAGCCCAGAACAAAGAGGGCTGTTTCCTTAGATACGGCTTTAGCCTCTTTGTCTCCCTTACTTGGTTCCATGCCTACATTGGATTGGATATTGTGATGTTACATGGCAGCCACAGGAATTGATGCAGTACTGGGCGTGTATACATTTTTCCTCCCACGCACATACTGAGCTGTAGCTGTCTGCAAGGGTCAACAGTATTGCTGTGTACTAGCAAGCAGGACCTGAAGTGGTCCATAGAAGCAGGTCGGGACTGCAGCGGAAGCATTCACAGGCAGGCAGGTAGCAGCCACACTTCATTCCCAGGACAGATGCCTCCCTTTTCCTTTTTCTGACCTTGGGAAGGCTCTGCCACAACTTTAGTCATTTCAGCAACAAGTGTAATTAAAAGACAAAGTCCTCTGCCACACGGCTGCATTGGCAGATAGTTAATTCTTCAGGGAATGAGGTTATGGGCGGTGAGAATCCTTACCCACTGCAGGTAGAAAGCTATGGTAACAATTTTGAAAACCATTTTGGCAACTTCGGTAATGTTGAAAATACACAAAGTCAGAAACCTGGCTGGTGCCTGTGATATATTTCCTAAAGAAATTCCTTGTGAAACGTATTTATGAGTGTTCGTAGCATTATTTTTTGTGCTGTTAAAATCCTGATAGCAGTGCTGGCGCCATGGCTCAGTAGGCTAATCCTTCACCTAGCGGCACTGGCACACCAGGTTCTAGTCCCGGTCGGGGCACCGGATTCTGTCCCGGTTGCCCCTCTTCCAGGCCAGCTCTCTGCTGTGGCCCGGGAAGGCAGTGGAGGATGGCCCAAGTGCTTGGGCCCTGCACCCCATGGGAGACCAGGAGAAGCACCTGGCTCCTGCCTTCAGATAGGCACGGTTTCCGGCTGCAGCGCAAACCAACGGCAAAGGAAGAGCTTTCTCTCTGTCTCTCTTTCTCACCGTCCACTCTGCCTGTTTAAAAAAAAAAAAAAATCCTGAAAGCAGTCAGACATGGTAGAATTGATAGGTAAATTGTGATATACTTTTTCAATGAAATAGAAAATTAAAACTTTTGCTGGCATAAATATAAAAAAGTCAAAAATGTAAACTGAACTCTTGTTTAGGAATATGTATGTGCATGTAGCATAAAATCGTGAGGACTGATACAGTGATAAACAGACTTCTGAATGGTGGTAACCTGCAGGTTGGCAGGGAGATGCGTGCAGGTGGGGGCCCACTGGCTGCTTCCCATGTTAATGTTCTCTTTCTCTAGCTGCTCAGTGATCTCAAGGTTGTGCACCTCCATATTTCACAGGCAAGTGTTCTTGTGTATAGAATATAATTCATAATTCTGGTGCCAAGATAAAAATGTTAAATAAGTAAAGACAGATTGGATATAATGGTTCTTCATAATTTTTGTTAATCTGTTCCTTAGAGCTTAAGAAAGATTTTATTTGGAGTAATAAGATCTTGAGATACTGTGTTTTGTTTAAAAGAATATATAGTACCTTTTGGAGGTTTCAAGATGGCAGAATTGGGAGGGAGCTTCCTGGTCTAGTCTAGGGAAAGATAGTTTAAAATAAAAAAAGGTGAGAGACGACAATCTCAGGGAAGAGTTAGGGAGAAAACAGCAGAGGAAACTCCATGCAAATTAGAGGGACACAGTTGTCCTACATGGAGGTGTGGAGGTGACAACTCAGGGCCCCAGTACTCAAACAGTATTTTTCACTTTGTGTTTCTATGTGGGTGCAAACTGTCGAAATCTTTACTTAATATATGCTAAACTGATACTCTGTATATAAAGAGAATTGAAAATGAATCTTGATGTAAATGGAAGGGGAGATGAGCGGGAAAGGGGAGGGTTGCAGGTGGGAGGGAAGTTATGGGGGGGGAAGCCATTGTAATCCATAAGCTGTACTTTGGAAATTATATTCATTAAATAAATAAATAAATAAAAGCTCAAACTAGAACTGTAGGTCTTCAGAATCCTAATACAGAATATTACTGTAGCATTTTAAAACAGTGCACCGAGTAATCATGTATTCTGCACGTGGCCAGTTAACGGAGGTATTAAAGTTCACAAAATACTGTCCTTGCCGACAAGGACTTTATCGGGAGTGGTGTTGGACAGCTACACACAAGATAAAGGGCAGCAAAGCTTTTGGTTGCTTCAGCAGAAATGGGAGAACCAAAGAGATGGCAGGAAGAGAGTGAGCATACAGACGGGGTTTGTGAGGGAAGCAGTGGGCAGGAAGCAGTGAGGATGGCGCCTCCCATAGGATTCTTCAGCCGGAGCTGCCTTTACCCAATGGGAGGCACTGTTTTTGTTTCAAGCTGTCAGAACTCTGTCTCTAGAGCCAAATACGAACAATCAGCATGTTCAAGTTGACTTGTCTTGATATTCTAGGTATTTCTGACAGCGTGCATATTTGGTGTCTAGAAGGAAAAAAGAAGAGTGACCTCATGGAGTTGGATATTGTTTTGTCTGCATGTGAGAAAGCAATCCGGGAGCATAAGTAAGTCTTGATGTTCTAGTGCATACACGACTGATTCCCCTTCAGGTACGACTGTTGCTTAGTGGGCTTTTGTATGTCTTCTCATTATTCTTACAGCTTAGATATTTTTGTTATGATTTCCCTTAATCCTGTGAGTCACTAGCAGTATGTTTTTATATGTCCAAATATGTGGCTTTTTAATTTGTATTTTTGTATGAACTCTACCTTAACTGTCGTCGTCAAAGATCCTGATGGTCTGGTGATACTGACTTGAAATGTTGAGGCGTTCTTTATGGCCTAGCACGTAATCCGTGCGGAATCTCTAAATACTAGATCTGGGGAGTTTAATTATTGCATCTGGATGGAACCAGTAATTACTCAGTTTTTCCTGGTATTTGTGCTGTATATATTTAGTGACCATTTTATTAGGAACATCATGCTTTAAATTGCTCTGTCTTATAAATGAGACATTTATCATCAAGTAATGGTGACCTCCATTGCTAGAAATGCTTTTTTGTCTTACTATCTATTTTAGCTCATCTGATATGCATCACTAGCTTTCTTTTGGTAGCATTTGCCAGACGTGACATTCGTATCACAGGCGTACCTAAGACAGATCGCAGGTTTGCTTCCAGACCACTGCAGTAAAGCAAATGCCACAATAGAGTCATGAATTTTTGGTTTCCCAGCACATTTGGAAGTTACATTTATACCATACTGTAGGCTTTTAGGCATATAATAGCTTTGTGTCTAAAATATATATGTATAACTTAATTAAAAATATTGTATTGCTGAAAACCGGTAATGAGCTCTCTCCGTGAGTCATGCTGTTTTTGCTGGTGGAGGGATCTGGCCCCGAGGTTGACAGCTGCTGACTGATCAGGGTGGTAGATGCTGAGTGGCTTTGACAATTTCTTCAAATAAGGCAAAAACGGAGTTTGCTGCACTGGTCGACTCTTCTTTCCCTGAAAGCGCTCTCTGGGGCATGAGATGCTGGTGGGCAGCACTTTGATCGGTCCTGACATTCTCTCTGCTTTCCCAGCGATGTCCATGCACGGTCTCAGTCTGCTGTTGTCACGTCAGCCGCGTCACAGCCCCTTCAGCAGGTGCGGGCTCCATTGAGAGAAGCCCCTACTCTGTTCACCCCGAGCGGCAGCTCCTGTCTGCCAGGTTTGGCCATGAGAGCGCAGCCGTTGGGTCGCGTCTTCAGGCTCCGCTGGCAAGTCTGTGCTCTTGCTGCTTCCCTCACATCCGCGGTTACTTTCTCCACCAGTCCTGACCCCCGTCACTCGTCCGGAAGTCCGGAAGGAGGGAAGCCACATCTTTCAGGTCCTGTTGTTGTTGATAGTTCTGACCTCCTTGCAGGGATCGCGAAAGTTCTTGGTGGCATCTAGAACTGTGAATCCTTCCCAGGCCGGAGGGTGGGGGCCTGAAGCCAGGCTTCATCGTTTGGGCAACAGGCAGTCCCTTTCCAAGTGGCTTGTTGGAGAGGTGCAGGCACCACACGGACCATGGTAGGGTGTCTGGGGGGCGTGCAGAAAGGCACGTGGCTCAGCATATTGTCTCAGCAGGTGCGGGGGCTTTCCCCGCAGCAAGCAGCCCACGAGGCTCCAGGTGAACGCTCTGTGCCGTTTCATCGGGGTGGCCTCGGTGGCCTGACAGCTTCTGACTATCCTTTGTTTTTCCTGACTTAGAAGTGGGAAGGTCTGCTAATGTATTTCTTAGCTGCATGCATGCATGCAGCCATTTATCCCATTTGTTGTTTGTTGCACTGTTTTGGTTTTTATATCTACTATTTCTGCTTGGTTCTTTTTTGTGCCTTCAGTTCGCGTCGTTCCTGGTTAGCATCCTGGGAATACTGTCTAAAATCCATTTGATGGAATCAGCTCTCCTAGGGGTTTTCCTCTGGGAGCAGTTGTGCTGCTCTGGCATTGCTTCTCTGGCCTGGGTGCTTGTCAGGAGACAGGAGTGCCAGGGATGGAGGCGGCAGGGCCGGGGAGCGGGAAGCCCAGTCGCTTGGCCGTCACCCCAGGCCCCGCAGAGAGCAGTGCCAGGAGGGTAGGTCACTCCCTGGGAAAGGTGAGGAAACAGCTGCCCAAGGTCAGTCTCCCCACTATTCCCCAGGCCTCACAGGCCCAGGGCTGCCTTTAGTCCTGAGGACCAGGAGACAGGGTCGAATCACTGCCAGTGACAGGTGTCTGGGAGGCCGTGTGTGCGGGGACGGTGGGGAAGACACAGGAGCCGGCCCTCAACAGCCAGCCACAGCCTCGGCTCTCACCTTTCCCCTTTCAGAATCCCTCCCCTTGGGGTTCACAGCCTCGTCTGGTTCTGTGGCGGTTCCCCTCTGGGGTTCACCCGCATTGATGTGGCGTGGGGTGGGTCTGTCACACTAGAACTCAGCAGTGTCACTGTGAGGAGAGCCTGGTTTTTTCTTCTCTGCTCTATAATCCAGAGCCAGTTTGCTGTTAAAACTGGTTCTCTTAACGCACCAACACTGGCTTTTGTTATCCTTTTCTCATTCATAAATCACCTAAAGACTTACTATAGACTTGGGATATTTTAGGGAAACTGGCCTTGTTAATTTACCTTTTAGTATATTTTAAATTTTTATTTATTTGTTTGAGGGATAGAGGGAGCATCTATCTGCTGGTTCACTCCGCAAATGCCTACAATGGCTGGGGCTGGGCCTGGGCCGGGCCGAAGCCAGGAGGAAGGAACTCAATCCAGGTCTCCCACCTGATGGCAGGAGCCAAGTTACCTGAGCCACCAGCACTGCTTCCCACGGTCTGAATTAGCAGGAAGCTAGAATCGGGAATGAGGGCCAGTTATCCAACCTAGGAGCTCTGATATGGGATGTGGGTGTCTCAATCACTGGGCTAAAGAAATGCCTACCCTTGGGGCCAGCGCCATGGCACAGTAGGTTAATTTTCCGCCTGCGGCACCGGCATCCCATTTGGGCACTGGTTCGAGTCCTGGTTGCCCCTCTTCCAGTCCAGCTCTCTGCTGTGGCCTGGGAAAGCAGTGGAGGATGGCCCAAGTCCTTGGGTCCCTGCACCCACATGGGAGACCCAGAAGAAGCTCCTGGTTCCTGGCTTCAGATCAGTGCAGTTCCAGCCATTGTGGCCATTGGGGAGTGAACCAACGGGAAGGAAGACCTGTTTCTTTCTCCTTCTCACTGCCTGTAACTCTACCTCTCAAATAAATAAAAACAGTCTTGAAAATAATAAATGCCTACCCTTAGCATATTAAGTTCTTGGGAAGTGACTTAGGAAAGGGACAGATTGGAAAATCCAGGACCTAAAATGCTTGAAAATCTGAAACTGAGCACCAACATGAAGCCACAGTGGAACATTCCACACCTGACCTCATGTGACAGACTGCAGTCAGAACACATACTTAAAATGTCGCATAAAATTATCTTTAAGCCATGTGTTTCAGGTGTATATGAAATATAAATGAATTTTCATGTTTAGACTTGAGTCCCAGCCCCTAGAAGTCTCATTATGTATATGCACATACTCCAAAATCCAAAACAATTGCAATACAAAATGCTTCTGGTCCCCGGCAGTTTGGATAAAGAATACTTCACTTGCATTTTTCACAGACTTTTAAAATTACAAAACAACGTTGTTTTTTGTTGCATCAAACAATTCCTGTGAAATCACTGATCCATTGTGTTTTTGCAACCTCTAGGTTCTCAGCCACGTGGAACACTTCCCACTTTCCAAATAAACACCTGTTTGGGGGTCTGCTATTTGTAATACACGTGACAAGCCTGAACAATTTTTTTTTGCTTGTCAACAGACTCGCTCGTTGTAAGCAGTATGTCAGTGTGTATAAGCAAGGAAGTATGTCATGAAATGCAAACGTCACAAATTCTTAGGATACTCCATAACTAGGTCTGGATGAAGTGGCCAGGTTTTTTAAGCACTAAAACTTGAAATAGCTGTGTCTGAGCATCCTGTGTAGACTGTCACCTTGTGGCTGATAGAATCCATCAGTTTATCATCATTAGAATGAGCCGCAGCAGAGAGGCCTGGCCTGTTTTTCTTATTAAAAAAAAAAATTTTTTTTTTTTTTTTTGACAGGCAGAGTGGACAGAGATAGAGAGAGAAAGGTCTTCCTTTTCTGTTGGTTCATCCCCCAATGGCCGCTGCGGCCGGCGCACCACGCTGATCCGATGGCAGGAGCCAGGTGCTTCTCCTGGTCTCCCATGGGGTGCAGGGCCCAAGGACTTGGGCCATCCTCCACTGCAATCCCTGGCCACAGCACAGAGCTGGCCTGGAAGAGGGGCAACCAGGACAGAATCCGGTGCCCCGACCGGGACTAGAACCCGGTGTGCCAGCGCCACAGGTGGAGCATTAGCCTATTGAGTCATAGTGCTGGCCAAAAAATTTTTTTTCACATCTGAAAATTTGGTATCTATATTAAATTAGAAATTCTTCTTCACAAGATAGGACATATAATTTGTACCTGTGATAACAGGACGTCATAAAACTTGCCATCTTAAGCATTTGTAAGTACACAGGTCGGCAGTGTGAAGTAGATTCTCACTGTTGTGGACCCCGCTCTAGACACCGTTCATCTGGTCAAGCCCAAACCTGTGTCCATTAAACTATCCCCTTCTCACCAGCCCCTAGCAAGCACTCTTCTACTTTGTTCTGCAGACTTGACTATTCTGTGTAACTCATAAGTGGGATCATACATTTGAGGGTACTTAAAAACAAAATGGAATTAAAAGATAGTTATTTGGTGCACAAAATTTTGAAACCCATGCATAGTTTTGCCCTAAAATCCATTTTCCACAAACCTTCTGAAGACCCCTCATATGCGTCCCTTTGTAATTAGCTTATTTCACGCGTCTGTCCTCAGGGTAATCCACGTGGTGGCCATGTTGTCAGAATTTCCTTTTTAAGGCAAATAGAAGCTTTAAATGGATGCAGCTCCATTTGTCTGTTCTTGCTTTTGTTATCTGTGTGTTGATGTGACATGCAATCCCTATTTTTTCCACTTGGGACGTTACTGTTTTAGTCTTTAATGCATTCTGAGTGCATTTTGAAGTATGTGTGGTGTAAGGTAAGGGCCAGCTTCACTTATTTACAGGTGGACCTGCAGATTTTCTAACACCCCTTGCTGAAGAGCCTGCCTTCCCCATTATGTAGTGCTGGCACCACACTGACGATCAGAAGCCCCCAGTGTATGTGAAAGTTTGTTTCTGGATTTGCTATGCAGTCTTATTGGTCTGTGTTTCTGTCTGTATTCCAGTGCCATCCTGTTTTGACTACTGTAGCTTTGTAATATGTTTCTAAATCAGAAAGTATGAGGCCTGCAGCTTTCTTAAGATTGTTTTGGCTTTCTGGAGTCTTTTGATAGTCACATGAATTTTAGGATTTTTTCTAGTGCTGCAGAAAATGTCACTGGACTTTTGATAGGAGGTGCAGCGAATCTGTGTATTAAGTTTTCTAGTCAATAAGCATGGAATGTCCTTCCAGTTATTTGTGTCTCTTTCTCCGCATTCCTGCCAACACCCATGTTCTGGTGGTGTTTACAGTAGTCATCCCAGTGAGTAGAGTGCCATGTAGACCTGTCTGCATTCCCCTCTTGTTAGTGTTGCGTGTCTTTTCAGGTGCTTCATGACCATTTGTATCTTCTTTGGAGAAAATGAGTGATACAGCCGAGAGATACAAATTATTGTTTAATTTTTTTTTTCATTTTATTTGAAAGGGAGAGGGAAGGGGTGGAAGAGAGATACTGATTTCTTCCATCTACTGTGGTTCACTCCCCAAATGCCTACAATAGCTGAGGCTGGGCCAGGCCAAATCCAGGAGCCAGGAAGTCAGTTTGGGTCCCCCACATGGCTGGCAGGGACCCAACACTGAGCCACCACCTGCCGCCTCCAGGGGTGCACGTCAGCAGGGAGCTAGAATTGAAGCAGAGCTGGAACTCAAACCAGGCACTCTGATGTGGGCTATGGGCCGCCCAAGCAATGGCTTCACCACTGCATCAAACCCCTGCTCCCAAGAGTTCTAAATTCAAACAGTAAAACAAATGCCAGAGATAAGAAACACTGTACAAGCTGAGTGTCCTTTATCTGAAGTGTTTGGGACTGAAAATGTTTGATTTCTGAGCTTTTCAGATTTTGGAATACCTGCACACTTAATTGGTTGAGTGTCTTTAATCCAAGAATCCAAAACTGAGTGTAATGTTGGCACTCAGCATTTTGGATTTCAGAGCGTTTTGGATGCTGGGTTTTTAGATGAGGGGTGTTCAACCTATTATGGATAGCTATAGACTGCAGGCTACTTCAGCAACACAGAATACACATTCTTCTCAAGATCACAAGGAATATTTGTCAAGACAGATCACAATCTAGGCCATAAAAAACACAACCCTAAGAAATGTAAATAATAGAAATCTTACAGTGTCTGGTTGCAGACAGATAGCTGGAAAAAAATTTTTAAATACTTGGCAATTAAACAACATACCTTTTTTTTTTTTTTTTTGACAGAGTAGACAGAAAGGTCTTCCTTTGCCGTTGGTTCACCCTCCAATGGCCACTGCGGCCGGCGCAGCGTGCTGATCCGGTGGCAGGAGCCAGGTGCTTCTCCTGGTCTCCCATGGGGTGCAGGGCCCAAGCACTTGGGCCATCCTCCACTGCACTCCCGGGCCACAGCAGAGAGCTGGCCTGGAAGAGGGGCAACTGGGACAGAATCCGGCGCCCTGACCGGGACTAGAACCCGGTGTGCCGGCGCCGCAGGCTGAGGATTAGCCTAGTGAGCCGCGGCGCCGGCCACAACATACTTATAAAGAACATGTATGTCAAAGAAGAAATCTTAACAGAAAACTAAATGTGTTTGAACTAAAGTGAAAAATATGGGATGCCAGGAAAGCAGTGCATCAGTCATCTAACTCATCTTAGCAATCCAGGTACAGAAGCAAAGGAAACCCAAAGTAAGCAGGAGACTAATAGTAAAAATTGGAGAAGAAATTAAATAAATTGAATATAGGAGCTCACGTGTTCTGGTTTGAGTATGATTTGCCTCTAAACTCATGCAGCATGTTAAACCCCAAAGTTGTACGTTAATGGTTCTAAGAGGAAGGAGGTAGTTCAGCTAAGGTGATTTGAAGAGGGTCACTGGGGTGAGCCGTCAGATGTGGTTCTCACCGCAGGGTTGCTTAACAGTGTGAGCGTGGGCACAACCACTCTCTGGCTTGCCCATCGTTGGTGAAGGGCACTTCTGGTCATTTTCTTTGCTGAGACATGTTTCCTAGATTGTCTGAGAAAGTACCACAGGCTGAATATTACATCTTAAATTTTTTTAAATGGTACATGCCAAGTTGTGCATGTATATTACATATGCTAAGCCGGAGAAACACATTTCAAAATCCTTCATGATACCTAATTTGATCCCTTTTTTTAACTCCTCTACAGAGAAAGAATAGAATCTAAAATTTGTAAAGAAGCCATCAATAAATTTCATTGTAATATTAAAGAAGAACTCATCAAAATGGTAAGCTCACTGACAAATTTCTTGGCCTAAGGTTTTTCAGCTTATCCTGAGGCAGTATGCTGTTAGCATAGAAAAGCTTGCATTTTCTGGCAATATGGTAATAAAGTCATTAGCACTACTCATATTTTACATGCTATTTTTAAATTAAATGTAACCTATGTCAAAATGATTAATCTTGGGAAATACACAGGAATTATCTTTCGTTTCATACAGCTTAAAGAAGCCCAGATGTTGAAAAATCTGAAAAGGAAGAACGCTAAGGTAAGTGACGTCAGCAATTAGGGTGATGTGACTACACGATACTAACACAGGTGGTTAGGACCTGACTTTGGGGTTTGCTGCCTTTAGAACTTTGTGTAAGAATTTTTATCTTTTTAGACTCTTATTTGGTTGATGTTCAAGGAAGTGCTATTAAATCTTTTTGAAAGATGTCTCAGTTGGTCTAAAAATGGCTATCAACGTCCAAAATGGTCGCTTATATGGGTACGTGTTGAGTAATGTACATTTATTGCTTTTGTGAGTGTCAAAAAGCAAAACTTTTTAGAGCACTGTCTAAGGCAAAAGGGCAGCCGGGAAGAACACCAGGTTAGGAGTCCTAAGAGCTCACCTGTAGTCCTGGCTCTGCCCCCTCAGTAGGCAGCAGTGGGAAACAAGCCAGTGAACACGGGATTCCCCTTTGCTTGTTTGTGAATGAATGGACCGAATGACCTCAGAGGTTGCACCACCAAACTTCCACGAATCCAGGAGTGCAAAGTCACTGTTCCTCTGCATTGGTAACAGAAATGACCTTGAGAAATATACATTTGTCTTCTGGCAATTACACATCTTTTTTTCTTTCAACTGTAATCTCATTTTGGTCATTTCTACATTGTTTATGGATGTCCAACAGCAGAGTATTAGGTAGTGACTAATGAGACATCTGAGATAAGAAAACTTATTGAAATAGTTTTAAAAATACAAAACAGAGGCCGGCACCGCGGCTCACTAGGCTAGTCCTCCGCCTTGCGGCGCCGGCATGCTGGATTCTGTCCCGGTTGCCCCTCTTCCAGGCCAGCTCTCTGCTGTGGCCCGGGAGTGCAGTGGAGGATGGCCCAAGCCCTTGGGCCCTGCACCCCATGGGAGACCAGGATAAGTACCTGGCTCCTGCCATCGGATCAGCGTGGTACGCCAGCCGCAGCGGCCATTGGAGGGTGAACCAGTGGCAAAGGAAGACCTTTCTCTCTGTCTCTCTTTCTCACTGTCCACTCTGCCTGTCAAAAAAAGAAGAAAAAATACAAAACAGATCACGACACTGTCCTGCAAGATCACATCTGTCTAGCTCATGGGATCTACTGAGGATCTAGCCCCTCACCTTCTCCAGATCATCCTGAAGTAGATCCCCCACCCACACTATTCCAAGGTTCCCTCTTTTCCTGGCAGTACACATCACAAAATTAACAAAGAAATTACTCTTACTTAGGTGATTGCAGATATCAAGAAGAAAAGGCAGCGTTTGGTTGAAGTCCAGGATGAACTGCTTCGGTAAGATAGCAACAGTCCTGTGACAGAACATACCTCAAGGAACCCAAGTTAATACTTGCTGCTGTGCCATACGAAAACTCCAGGTTATCTTTGAATTTGGATGCTCAGTGAGGGCAGGTTATGCTACGTCGCTGTAGCCCCCATTAGCAAGGGAGGATTTGCCGCTGATGTCCCGACTTCTCTCAGCTGTGGCCTGAGAGGCACCCCAATTAAATTCATGCATAAATTAATGCAGTTAGACTGCCTGGCTTTGAATCCAGACTCGGCCCCTCACTGCCCCTGCAACTTTAACCAAGTCACTTAACCTGTTAATAACTCCGTTCCCTCTTTAGTATAAAGGCGTAATGCTATCTAACAGACCATCGGGTGTTGTGAGAAGTGCTTCATGGGGATGGCACATGGTTAAGTGCTGTATAAATGTTGGCAGTTTGTGTTGGTGAAACACAAACACCGTGGGTGGCACTCATGTGAATCCACATTCCCAGAGGCTGGACCAGACGGTCCCAGAACTGGCCAGCCGGGGTCTGGTTGCAAAGACTGGAGCCCACAGCAGCCTGCAAGTGTTTCTTCCTGCTCTTCTGTACGTGTTGCGTGAGCTGGGAGTGTGATAGTAAAGCAGTACCAGGGAGGCTGTCTGCTCTGAAGGTGTACGACAGCTGAGAAAGGCCGGTAGAAAAGACAGTGAAGCACAAAGTACTGTCGCAGGAGTTGAAGAGGGAGAATTGGTTGTCTAGTCCTTTGGTTTCCAAATTTAGACTACAGACAGGTGCTGGCCCAGGCTACAGCTAAGAACAGCCAAGGTAATACGACAGCCTACATCTAGCAGTCCCCTGGGTGCGGGGCGCTTTCCTGATTTCACCCATTGATCGTCCCTGTCATCACTGAGGGAGGTTATTATCTCTGGTGATAGGCTTCATTACAGTATTTTAAAACACACTTCTTTAGTTCCTTTTCTACTGGAGAGGTAGATTATTGTTTTAACTTTACGTTGGGAAAACTAGGCACGGAGAGGTAACATACCAACAGTCAAACCCCACAGAAGTGGGGGAGCTAGGATTCGCTGTCAGACCCCAATTCTGCCAGCTCAGTAGTGAGTCTAACAAAACGCTGCACTTGTCCACTGTAAAGGACAGCTTATAGGACTTATGTTATGACATCATAGTAGACAAGAGTTTAGTTAGCATTTTTTTATTTAACAAAATAAAACTCCTTTTCTATTCCCTTTGTCTATAAGATCCAAGTTCTCTCTGAGAGCTGACGCAGCTGGCCCCAGCGGCTCATCTGCGAGGCTGAAAGCTGCCTTTCTCCTACATTTCAAATTGAAACCCGGAGCCTTTCATGCATTCCTGCTGTCAGAGCTGAAGGTAGACGGAGCAGCCACCACCCTGGTGTTCCATCCTTTCACCCGGTGTACTTCTTTTCGCTCTCAGGTTAGAGCCCAGCTGATTACAGCTACAAACCAAATACGACGAACTTAAGGAGGAGAAAGTCATCCCTGCGGACGCGCAGCAGATTTCCTATCTAATTTAAAACAGCTCTCATCACGAGTACTCAGATCTTCAAGAGAAAGAACCAGACACAAAGGAAACGGTAACTTGGAGTTTTTTTACTTTCGACTCTGCCTCAGGAGGGGAGCTGCAGCAGTACAGGAAAACCCGGGCTCACTGAGTTCAATAAGGGAAGAGTAGGCTTTGCACAACCACATTTTTTATGTCTAGCTCATGTTCTTGGTACATGTATCTAAAAAGCCATTATCTATAAATGGCAAGAAAAAGCAATATTATTGGATTAATAAAAAACGTAACTACAAAATTTTTTATTTGAAAGGTCACAGGTAGAGGAGAGACAGATCTTCCCTCTAGTGGTTCACGCCCCCAGACGGCTGCAACAGCCAGTGCTGGGCCAGGACCTTCACGTGGGTCTCCCACTGCTTTTCCCAGGCCAGTCAGCAGGGAGCAGCCGGGACATGAACTGGTGGCTCATATGGGATGCTGTTAGGGCCACAGCAGTGGCCCCCATTTCTGGACTTTTTAATATTACACTTTAAGTTGTCCACCTAGTATAATTTTACATAAAATGTTACCAGATTTGTTTTCTAAATTCAGCTTTAAATTTTGACACTGATGCAGTTTTCCTGAGCCCAAAGTACCTAACTAGTCTAAAGCTTAAGTGGACTTGGTTATTAAATTTAGAAAAATAGCAACCACTTTCATTAAAACAAATTCAGCGACTGTGACCTTTAGACCATACCACTCCCAGCTGTGTTCTCGGCCTCACCTCTTTTCCTAAACTAAACCTGTAGCACCAAGCAAGTTCTCCTCCCTCCACTCCCTGAGAGCAGGTGCTTAGTGTCTTAATTAGGCTCTTGAATTCTCTCAAACATATGGTAAATTGTATGCCAGGAAAAAAATCCACTGTTTTCTAGGTAGTAGTCAGAAAACTAAAGCGGAATTTAATCAATTTTGGGTTGGCTTACTAGTTTAAACTCATGAGTTGATTTTGTTCGACTTGCATAGTAATTTTGTCTTATTGGAAGGATCAGTTCCATGATTAAAGTTTTCTTAGAGTGGATTTAGAGTTTTTTTTCCCTTATGAGCTATTATAGCTGGGTGTTCATCCTTTGGTTCTTCCAGTAAAAGTAAACCTCCTAATGTTTTTTTGTGTGTGTTTTAAAATAGACCTGAGATCAGACAGACTTGCTCAAACCAAGTCTTGACCTGCCCAAGGCACTCAGATGTACAGAGCCACGCCTTTGCAATGTTCTCCGAATTCTATCCTAAGGCAATGAATTACAAACCAATTGTAAAAGTGAAGGAAGAGGAGATTGACAAGTTAGATCTTTTCCATTGGTTTCAGATTGAACTATGTAAAGACAGGATTGTAAGAGTTTTAATATTAGCTATCTGAATTATTTTCTTTCAACAGTATGATTCATCCAGCCTTCCAGCTCTGTTATTTAAAGCAAGAACCTTTTTGGGAGCTGAAAATCATTTGCAAAATATCAACCACCAATTAGAGAATCTCCTTGACCAGGACTGAGAAGACAGCCGTACTGAAATGTGCCAACTTAGTCCCCTGCGGCCTCTGAAAACAAGTAGGGTCCAGTCCCCAGGATTTAGTACTGATTAATAGTTTTAGAGGCCATGATCCTTTTAGGATAATGTCTTGAGTAATTTAAAAATGTTGAAACCCTATCTGAATCAGCCCAAACATGTATGTTTTAACCTGTAAAATTAAGACAATGTGAACATAGACTAAATACTACAGTTAATTTCCAATAAAATTGATTTACTTACATTATTTTCCAAGTAACATTTGACAGACTGAATATAATTTTTTGTTACAAATCTCGCAGATTACAGCTGCTTATGTTGTCCACAGTTGGCTACTCTTGTAATACTTCCATAATGAGGTCATCAGGAATCTCATCCACTCCACTACTGTGACGCAGAAGACTGCTCTCTGCAGCCTCTGCTAATTCAGCATCTTCAGTGGCTTCTAAAAAGCAAGCATCATCCATGCCATTGTCCCAGCCAGGGTCAGAGGATGCACCAGGGGACGGTTTATGAGGGCTCGTGGTTTCATTGTTCCTAGTTTCGTCTGTTGTAAATTCTTCTTCCTTTAAAAAAAAAATCTAGTTGTAATTCTACATAGACTGAATAATAATGAAATCACCACATATTAAGATCTTAAGACCAGTTCGATAGGAATGAGAATATTAACTGTTTCTGGAGTTGGCTCAGATACTCCTTAGACTCCCCATTTGAAACTGCCTGCAGTTCTGTGGCACAGATGTTTCAGCATCCCCAGCAGGTGCTACAGCAAGGACAGACTTACTGTTCAAGTGGCCTGTGTACCTGTTAAAGACAAACTGCCAAGGACTAATCACTAAGGCTTACATGAGATAATAGTGATGTTAAATTTCCTTAAATTAGGTGTGGAGCCTCCGCCTGGGGCACCCAGCATCCTGTAGGGGCACTGGTTCAAGTCCCAGCTGGGCCCTGCACCACGTGGGAGACCCAGAAGCAGCTGTTGCAGCCATTTGGGGAGTGGATGGAAGACTTCAGTCTCTAAATACCTTAAAAAGGAAAGGCCCCACAGAGTATTATGTATACTTACTGGTTTTAAAAATATGAGCCCAGATAAAAATGTTGTAATATTATGAGGAAGATTTTAAATTATTTGGGCAAATAAAGATCTTTGAAAGAAATTTGGTGGTATTATTGGATTGTCAAACCACGATTAAAACTGCTGGCATAGTGGGTGAAGCTGCTACCTGCAGTGCCAGTATCCCCTATGGACACCAGTTTGAGATCCAGCTCTCTGCTGTGGCCTGGGAAAGCAGTGGAAGATGGCCCAAGTACTTGGGCCCCTGCACCCTCGTGGGAGACCCAGAAGAAGCTCCTGGCTTCGTATTGGCGCAGTTCTGGCTGTTGTAGCCAGTTGGGGAGTGAACCAGCAGATGGAAGACCTCTCTCTGTGTAACTCTGACTTTCAAATAAATCTTTGGGGGAAAAAATGGCAGCAAAGGGTATATGCAATTTTTTTATTTGAAAGGCAGAGTCACAAAGATCCCACATCACTAGTTCATTCCCCCCAAATAACCATAACAGCCAGGGCTAGGCCAAGAACCTGGAATGCAATCCAGGTCTCCCATGTGGGCTGCAGGAAGCAGAGGAGGCAGACAAGAACTGGGCACTGTGGTATGTCTGCTGCAAGCACTGTGCCAGAAAAAGAAGGGTATTTTGGTTTATACAACCAGAAACCTCTTTAATGTCTAGGACTGGTTAAAGTGTACTAAATCTTATGCAGTAAAGAATGAGGTATGAAGCCGGCGCCGTGGCTCAATAGGCTAATCCTCCACCTAGCGGCGCCGGCACACCGGGTTCTAGTCCGGTTGGGGCGCCGGATTCTGTCCCGGTTGCCCCTCTTCCAGGCCAGCTCTCTGCTATGGCCAGGGAGTGCAGTGGAGGATGGCCCAGGCTTGGGCCCTGCACCCCATGGGAGACCAGGAAAAGCACCTGGCTCCTGGCTCCTGCCAGGATCAGCGCGGTGCGCCGGCCGCAAAGGCCATTGGGGGATGAACCAACAGAAAAGGAAGACCTTTCTCTCTCGTCTCTTCTCTCAGTCCACTCTGCCTGTCAAAAAAAAAAAAAAAAAAAAAAAAAAATGAGGTATGTGTCATTAATATATACTGAGGTAGGAAAATCACCAAGATGGATCTTCAAGTGAAAACAATGTGTTACAAACATTGTACTTAAAAAGCTTAGTGGAGGCCGGTGCCACGGCTCACTAGGCTAATCCTCTGCCTGTGGCGCCGGCACCCTGGGTTCTAGTCCTGGCTGCTCCTCTTCCAGCTCTCTGCTGTGGCCTGGGAAGGCAGTGGAGGATGGCCCAGGTGCTTGAGCCCCTGCACCCGCATGGGAGACTGGGAGGAAGCACCTGGCTTTGGCGCGGCGCAGCGTGCTGGCCATGGCAGCCATTTGGGGGGTGAACCAACAGAAGAAAGACCTTTCTCTCTCTCCCTAACTCTGCCTGTCAAAAAAAAAGCTTAGTGACACTGCTCCTGGTTCATTTATACTATAATACCAAGACTTAGTAATGACAATGATACAAAACTGCACTTACCTCTTTGAAAAGAAACAAAAGACACACTTCAGCAGGTAATGGCAAACCTGAATCAGAAAGATAGTAAAACTGTTTTTATGTAAACATTAACTTTTACTTTATGGTAAATGTAAAAATTAATAACTCACAGTCAGTTTGAAGTTTTCTGCTTTACATATAGGATCATGACATTTTTGATACCAAACTTCATTTTTCAGATCAACCAGAATCCTTTGTTTAAAAAAAAAAGTATTAATACCTAAGCTGTATAGAAAATTAAATCCAACTCAATGCTGTCTAAAAGAAACATGACTAAATCTTCAACTAAAAAGTAAAAACGAAAGAAGATACACAACAAAAAACCAGTTGCCTAAAATATCACACAAAATGGACTTCAGGAGGAAAACGCACACACTGACAGAAGATCTCCCCGAAAGATAGAACAGCTCTCTCCCTGTGTCCATCAAATGCACAAAATGGAATTTGAGCATTGGTCTTTAAGAGGCGCATATTACTTACACATATACATACTATTACATGTAATATTTCACAGCTAAAAATAATTGGATATAATCTTATTTTTTTTGTAAATGTCCACGCACAGAAGACTAGAAAGATGCATCAGTGCTAACTAGTTTTCACTGGGTTATAGGACTGTGGGGATCTTTTTTGGTGACAGCTTGGTGTATTGAGCATATAATTCTAAGATTTATTATTTTTAAAGAGAGGGAGGGAGAGAGGGAAACACATGGAAGCAACAGAGATTTCTATCCACACTGGCTCTTTCCCAGTGTGGCTACAAACTGCCAAAGCCAGGAGCCTGGAACTCCACCCAGATCTCCCTCACGGGTGACAGACCCAAGCTCTTGGGCCATCTGCTGCTTTCCCAGGCGCTTTAGACGGACAGGAGAGCAGCCAGGACTTGAACTGGTGCTCTGGCATGGAACAGCAGCACTGCAAGCTGCAGCTTACTGTGCGAGGCCACAACAGTGGCCCAAGAATAGAGCTTTTCAAGATTGTTTTTAATTTAAGAATATCAACCATAGCACTGAATCATGCCACACATTTTCCAACACACACTTGGATCATCTCCCCCTTCTAGCACATGTGCTATGTAAGAGTATCAGCTTTGACATTAACATTTCCCATGTTGTAACTAGATTTCTGTTTTATTCCCCTTCTGTCTATATCCCTTTATTATTTTAAATTATATTTCTAGTTTTACTTCATCTTTTTACTTCCTCTTGTTTTGCCAGGAGCATTTTAAAAAATTACCTAAAACAGGGCCTGGCATTTCTAACAAGCATCCAATAGTCAGTAATGTGTGATTTATCTATATTCAGTTAACACAGCCTTAACCTCCAGCTCTGTAGCACTGAGGAGTTGTCGTCTTGCCGTAATCGGCCCAGTTTCAATCACTTCCACAGGTATCTAGAACACCCTTTTCATCACATCCACTCCCTGCCTGCTGCTTGCTTTTTAGTCCTTAATCTACTTCAGTCTTCAAGATTATAGACTATGTCATTTTATCAAAGGACAAATAAAGCTGCCTTATGTTAGAAGCAATGTAATAAGATCTCTGAATATTATAAACCCCAACAAATGTAATCTAATTAGTTTAACTTGTTACATTTTTATATTGTCAGCTTTATTTCAAAGTTGTAAACATGGGGCCAGTGCTGTGGCTTAGTAGGCTAAGCTTCCACCTGCAGCATCAGCATCCCAAATGGGCACCAGTTGTGTCCTGGCTACTTCTCTTCCGATCCAGCTCCCTGCTTATGGCCTGGGAAAGCAGTGGACCCCTGCTTCTATGTACGAGACTCAGAAGAAGCTTCTGGCTCCAGGCTCCTCATCACCTCTGTTCCTGCCATTGCAGCCTTTTGGGGAGTGAACCAGTGGATGGAAGACCTCTGTCTCTCCATCTCTCTAACTCTGCCTCTCAAATAAACTTAAAAACAATCTTTAAAAAAAAGTTATAAACATTCAGAATACATCTCAGCATTAATAAACAAATTACTTACATGATGTTATTACTCTTGTGGGCTCTTCCAATGTTCTCACACCAGCGATATTTGAAAATATCATAAACCAACAACTGTTCTGGGAAAAAGTAGCTCCAACGCCTAATTCCTAAAATAAAGAATGTTTTAAAGATATCATGACTCTATCCTATAACAGTTAATAAAAATAAGATGAGTTGTACCTCCTTTAATGTCATTTTTAGTCACCAAGGAAAGAACAAACTGATCGACTTCAGGGTAGGGTGAACACTGAAAACCTTCGATGGTTCCTACTGCAACAGAGAAGAATTATTTAAAAATTGTAACATCTGAAAGTTGAGAACTTAAATTTTAAGTTGCTGTTTAGAACAGTTACGGGTTTTGCAACCCTTCCAGTTTTGGGTGTTTTTTTGGGCGGGGGGTGGTTTGGCAATTTGCAGTTAGCTCATAGGCTTTTATCCTACAGGGAAGTAGATAACATTGATAAGGCCACTCTGTGGTCATGAGGACTCACGACTAAAACGAGAGCACTCTGTAATCATGTCTGAACAGTCAGAACATGAGCATTTTGCAAACCACAAAAATCACCAACTGCCCCCTACTCTGGCCAACTGCTGTGGCCGTACCACCATAGCTTCAGTTTCCCTCTAGCCCGCCTGCATTCTAGATAACGGCTACAGAGCTACCCAGAACTGCCCCTGACAACACCCAACTCGAACAAGCCCACCTTCCTACAAAGCAGCCCCCACTGTTTCCAGGACTAACTGACTCAACTTGCTTGCTATGGGTGTGTTCCCTGTGGTCTTTAGGGGGCACTAACAGTTCAATTATATTTGTACCTAAAACTCTATTGTAATGTAGAATGATGCATTTAAAACTTCATGGAGGGGTTAATGTTGTAGCTCAGTGGGCTAAGCTGCTACTGTCAACACTGGAATCCTGTATCAGAGTGCTGATGTGAGTCTGGGCTGCTTTGCCTCCAATCCAGCTTCCTGCTAACGTGCCTATGCAGAATATGGCCTAAGCACCTATTTGGGACACCAGGATGTCCTAGCCCCTGGCTTTAGCCTGCCCCAGACTTGACTGTTGTAGCCATTTGTGCGGGTGAACCAATGAAAACAAGATCATTATCTCTCCCTCATCCCACCCCCACCCACCTCTCTGTGCTCTGCCTTTTAAATAAACAAAATTAAATAAAATTCTATTTAAGTTTTTTTATTTTTTTTAAGATGTATTTTACTTGAAAGGCAGAGTTACAGAGAGGCAGAGACAGAGGGGTCTTCCGTCCACTTGTTCACTCCCCAAGTGGCCACAATGACGAGCTGGGCCGATCTAAAGCCAGGAGCCAGGAGCTTCTTGATCTCCCACGTGGGTTCAGAGGCCCAAGGACTGGAGCCATCTTCCACTGCTTTCCTAGGCCATAGCAGAGAGCTGGATCGGAAGTGGAGCAGCCAAGACTCGAGCCGGCACCCATAAGGGATGCCAGCTCTATAGGTGGCAGCTTTACCCACTATGCCACAGCACTGGCCCCCCTATTTAAGTTTTGAAGACAAATAGTTTTCTTAAAATGAAGTCTATATTTCCCTTATGAAAAAGTGGAGAGATTTTAGAAAATATATTAATGTGGGGGCTGGCACTGTGGCATAGTGGTAAAGCCGCAGCCTGCAGTGCCAGCTTCCTATATGGGCACTGGTTCAAGTCCTGGCTGCTCCACTTCTGATCCAGCTCTCTGCTATGGCTTAGAAAAGCAGTAGAAGGATGGTCCAAATCATTGGGCCCTATACCCTTGTGAGAGACTGGAAGAAGCTCCTGGCTTCGATCGGCACAGCTCCAGCCATTGCGACATCTGGGCAATGAACCCAGATTAAAGACTCATTCTCTCTCATTCTCTCTCTCTCTCTCTAATTGAAGGCCCTCTCCCTGTTTTTGCCTCTCTAACTCTGCCTTTCAAATAAATCTTTAAAAAAATAAAGAAATATATTAATGTAAAAATGAGAGAAGTGAGTTCCAGATCAATGTCAAGAAATACATGTTAACAACCAGGGAAACAAATGTGTAAGAAAATGTCACCCAGGCAGTTCCCACGTGTAGGGATGTGAGGAGCAGGCTGCAGCTCTTCATGGCCACCTTCGGCCTGGCAGGTCAACTTGTCCACACTGAATGTGCTCTGGCTGCAGTAGTGCAGGAGCTCCTTCAGTGCGAACTAGAGGTGCAAACCATATGGGCATTTGGTGCACCAGTTAAGTGCTGCCTGGGATGCTCACCTCCCATACAACGCTTGCATTCAAGTCCTCGCCACACTCCTGATTCCAGCGTCCTGCTAATGCTCAGACCAGAGAGCAGCAGAATGGTCAAGGAATCAGAGTCCCTACCAACCACGTGGGAGACCCAGATGGAGTTCCAGGCTTCTCACTTCAGCCTGCCCACCCCAAACTGCCGCAAGCATTTGGGGAGTGAACCAATGGATGGAAAATCTTTCAAATAAATAAAAATTGATAAAATTCTAAAAAGCTGCAATGCTGTGGCATTAGCAAGAGGAGATGTTCTTGTCTTCCAAGAAACCACTCCCACAGCTCAAATGGTACAGGAGCTCTGGGATGCAAGACTTAGTCACAGTCAGGTACTGTCTATCTGGAGTTTCTTAATTTTGGTTGGAATGAAAGGCAGCCATATTTATTTAGTCAGAACCATCTGGAGCTTACTTTGCCTGGAAAGCCACAACAATGGGAAAGAACCAAGCGCATGGGAAAACTTTCAGATTCCATTACATCTTTTTTTTTTTTTTTTTTTTAGAGACAGGCAGAGTTAGTGAGAGACAGAGAAACAGAGAGAAAGGTCTTTCTTTCTTCCGTTGGTTCACCCCCTAATGGCTGCTACGGCCAGCGCGCTGCGCTGATCTGAAGCCGGAGCGGGGTGCTTCCTCCTGGTCTCCCTTGTGGGTGCAGGGCCCAAGTGCCATCCTGAGCCATCCTCCACTGTACTCCCGGCCACAGCAGAGAGCTGGATTGGAAGAGAGGAGCAACCGGGACAGAATCTGGTGCCCCAACCGGGACTAGAACCTGGGGTACTGGCGCCGCACGGAGGATTAGCTTAGTGACCGTGGCACCGGCCTTTTTTTTTTTTTTTTTAAAGATTTGTTTATTTGAAAGTCAGAATTACACAGAGAGGAGAGGCAGAGAGAGAGAGGTCTTCCATCCACTGGTTCACTCCCCCAGTTGGCCACAACGGCTGGAGCTGGGCCGATCCGAAGCCAGGAGCCAGGAGCTTCCTTCGAGTCTCCCACAAGGGTGCAGGGACCCAAGGACCTGGGCCATCTTCTACTGCTTTCCCAGGCCATAGCAGAGAGCTGGATCAGAAAAGGAGCAGCCGGGACTCGAACCGGCACCCATATGGATGCCTGTGCTCCTGGCCAGGGCATTAACCAGCTGAGCCACAGCGCCGGCTCTGCCATTATATCTTTTCAAAAAAACTTGAAGATGCCCTTCACACAGCCATTTAACCCTAAAGAAAAGTTTTCTAGGGCAAATGACATAAGTTACAGGGAAGCTGGAATCTGCAATGAAGCTGGATTTAGGAGGCATATTCCAACTGAAGCAAACGATCATTGGCTGCTGTGACGTAATAACAAAGCTACTGAACAAGCCAGAATTTCAGATAACCATTTAAACATGTTTAAAGTACAGATTATTTTGCAGACTTTTTGCATACCACTCTTAAGGATTTTTATTTATTTCCACTTTATTTGAAAGGCACTGAGACAGAGAGATCCTCTATTCCCTGGTTCACTCCCCGGATGCCTCAGGTCTAAGCCCGGCTGAAGGCAGGAGCCCAGAACTCCACCTGGGTTTCCCAGCTGGGACTCAAGTACTGGAGCCGTTACTGGCTGCCTCTGAGGACGCTTACTGGCAGGAAGCAGGATCGGGAGTGGAGTAGCAGGAACCCAAACCCGGCATTCCAACGTGGGCTATCAGAGTTTCAAGCAACGATCTGACTCCTACTGCACCAAGCAGGTGGCACATGGTTGAATGGGTTGTTTTCAATGACCAAAACCAAAATAAACTGTTAAATCTACCAAAAAAGTTACACTAACTTGTGGTCATACCATATGAAATTTTAGTGCCTTTTGTATCTTATCATAAATGGGTATTTTACATATTATATAGGCTTTATAAATTTAAATTTAATGGCTACAGAATATTGGTATGTCACCAATCCAATTTTGTTGTACCTTTAATTATTTTTGTTTTTCCCTACTTACAATAAAGCAATATACTGAAACATATTAATAAAATATTTACTGGAGGGTTTATGTAAGGAACTTAAGAGAAAAATCCGCACTTCTTCAGGACGAGCATGGGTAATCCTGATAGGGCCGTCTACAAAAACTGTGCAGTCACTACAAGCATGAGGAAGCTCTCCCTGTACTGAAAATACAGGGGGAGCTCTGCAGGACCAAGTAGCAAACTACTGCAGGGTCCCCCTCTTGGACTGCGGACAAAAGCGTAAAGAGAATTTTTACTTTATTTTCATATGTGTTTATCAAAAAATCTAATCACCTTATACTGTTTTGAAAAATTCCATACAATGAAAACTAGTAAATACTTTAATAATAATCTTTAAAACCATTTTTCACTTTGAATAGCAACCTCAAAGTAATCTCCAGTAATCAGCAGAGATGAATACTTAAGTTGTATGACCTTTTAAGGCAAAGTGAGTTTTTAATCATTAAATTCTGATAGAAAATTACTTTTAAAATTACCTGAAGGGCTGGTACTATTAAAGTGCTTCATTCGCTTTCTTTTATTCTGAGGTGTGTCACATGTTAGAATTCGTAAAGTATCTGAGAATCTGAAGAAAATAATTAAAAATTATATTAGAATTAAACAAGCAGGGATATATAGAAAGAAAACTAAATTCCAAATAGATCTGTAACTAAGCCACATTTCTCCACAAAAACACCAATTCTATTCATCTAAAAAAAAGTATGATTTGTCAGTTAAAAATAAAAAATTTGTCAGTTTCAACAGAGTAGGATGATCACTGTTCAGCAGTTTTCTCAGGGGGAAGTCTGGCCTGAGAGTTAAGATGCCACTTACGACATTTGCATCACAAATCCAGGAGCCTGGGTTGAATCTCAGCCCTGCTTCTGATTCCAGCTTCCTGCTAACCTGCACCTGGGAGGCAACAGTGATGGTTCAACTATTTAGGTCCCTGCCACCCACATGAGAAACCCAGACTGAGTTCCTGGCTCCCAACTTCAGCCTGGCCCAACCCTGGATGTTGTGGGCATTTGGGGAATGAACTACCGTACTATTCCCCAAACACATGGAGCCTTTGAAATTTGTTATAAACCCGTGAATAAAAAAGAAAAAACCGTGAATAAGAGCAAAATATGAAGAAAAAAAGATTAAAGGGAAAAACTGATTAAAATTTACTCAAAGAAAAGGCACATTTGAATCAAAAAATTTAGCCTTGGCTCCTTGAAATAAAATATCTGGTATATACTTAGACACACAAAAGAAAAGTAAGATAATTTTTATTTTTTTAAAAAATTTATTTATTTATTTGAAAGTCAATTACACAGGGAGAGGAGGAGAGGCAGAGAGAGAGAGAAAGAGGTCTTCCATCTGCTGGTTCACTTCCCAATTGGCTGCAACAGCTGGAGCTGATCCGATCTGAAGCCAGGAGCCAGAAGTTTCTTCCAGGTCTACCAACGGGTGCAGGTGCCCAAGCACTTGGGCCATCTTCTGCTGCTTTCCCAGGCCATGGCAGACAGCTGGATTGGAAGTGGAGCAGCCGAGATTTGAACCGGTGCCCATATGGGATGCCAGCACTGCAGGTGGCAGCTTTACCCGCTATGCCACAGCCCCGGCTCCTGTAATCCTACATTTTTTTAAAGATTTATTTTTATTTATTTGAAAGACAGAGTAGAGACAGAGAGAGGAGGTCTTCCATCTACTGGTTCACTCCTCAGGTGGCCGCAATGGCTGGAGCTGTGCTGATCCAAAGCCAGGAGCCAGGAGCTTCTTCTGGGTCTCCCATGGGTGCAGGGGCCCAAGGACTTGGGCCATCTTCACGGCTATCGTGGGCCACAGCAGAGAGCTGGATCAGAAGAGGAGCAGCAGGGACTAGAACCGGCGTCCATATGGGATGCCGGCGCTTCAGGCCAGGGCTTTAACCCGCTGTACCACAGCACCAGAAAAAAATCTATTTCTTTGAAAGTGAGAATTATAGAGAAAGGGAGAGATACAGAGAGTGGTCTTCCATCTGTTGGTATATTCCCCAAGGAGCCACAACAGCCAGGGGTGGACCCGGCTGAAGCCAGGAGACAGGAGCTTCATCCAGGTCTTCCATGTGGGTGCAGGGCCCAAGGACTTGGGCCATCATTCCCTGCTTTCCCAGGCACATGAACAGGGAGCTGGATCTGAAGTGGAGCAGCTGGGACTTGAACTGGCACCCATATGGGATGCCAGCACTGTAGTCAGCAACTTTACCAGCTGTACCACAGCGTGGGCCCTGAGGTAATCCTATTCGACGGAAGAGCCCTCCATTGTCTGTAGGATCAATATTGGAACACAGCAGGAGATACACAATTTTGATACAACTCCTAGACTCTCAGATCCACCACTAGTGCCAACTGACACCTCCTGAGATGCTAACATGTGCTGGGCACTGTTTTAAGTATTTTATGTGAACGGTTTTAACATATTTAATTCTACTAAAAATTCTGAAAATAGGTGGTATTATGTCCACTTTAAAAAATAAAGGAAGTGGGGCCAGCACTGTGGCGTGGCAGGCTAAGCCTCCACCTGCAGCACCAGCATCCCACATGGGCCAGGTTCACGTCTCAGCTGATTCTCTTCCGGTCCAGCTCAGGTAGTTGTTTTCATTCTTTATAAAAGTGATATTCATTTTAGAAAAACTGAAAAATACGTGATATAATCATTTAAAAGATGCAAAGAGGAGCCGGCGCCGCGGCTCACTAGGCTAATCCTCTGCCTTGCGGCGCCGGCACACCGGGTGCTAGTCCCGGTCGGGGTGCCGGATTCTGTCCCGGTTGCCTCTCTTCCAGGCCAGCTCTCTGTGGTGGCCAGGGAGTGCAGTGGGGATGGCCCAAGTGCTGGGCCCTGCACCCCATGGAGACCAGGAGAAGTACCTGGCTCCTGCCATCGATCAGCCGGTGCGCCGGTCGTAATGCTCGGCCACGGCGGCCATTGGAGGGTGAGCCAACGGCAAAGGAAGACCTTTCTCTGTCTCTCTCTCTCACTGTCCACTCTGCCTGTCAAAAAAAAAAAAAAAAAAAAGATACAGAGAGGAAACTAAGTGGCTAAAAATCTCAGAAAAGAGTATTTTAAGAATGGAGAGTCATTTTCTTGAGATAGGATGAATTTACACAATTCACTTTTTAGCAATATGCAATAGCATTCATGACTGAATAATCAATCAGGAGTATACAACAGTTTAATTTTTGCCTACATACCTGACATTGCATACCAAAGAAGAGAGGAAATACTGGTTTTCTTCAGGAATCGTTTTTGATTGTTTAGGAAAGAATTTGTTATCTTCAGCAATCTCCAAAGCCACATGCTTTCCTAGTTTTGATGACTTATACAGCCGGAAGTTTCTATTTCTTGTATAAACTCCTACATCAAAAATTAGTAAAGTAGTATGTATGAAATCTGTGCAATTTCCATGAAGATTCTGAAGAACCCTTGCAAGCACAGATTTCAAGAATTGTTTGCACCAAAATAAATTTATTTTTTAGTCTGATTTTCCATGAGCCTTTTGAGGTACTCTGGTATAGCTAGTAACAAAATTACATCAGTATATAAAAGAAGATAATTTAGAATTGACATGGAAGAATGCTATTTCCAGAAAGTACAAGCTAGACAGTTTTCTATCAACTTTTCAATTGAAAATAAATGGGGGCCTGTGCTGTGGCACAGTAAGTTAGTTCTCTGCTTGCGGCGTCTGCATCCCATATTGTGAGAGGCCAGAGCCACGCCATGACAGGCTTCTCACAAGACAAAGGAAGTGGCTAGGCCCAGGATGCTTCTCTGTGCTGAAACCTGACACCGGGCAGTCCTTGGTCTGCCAGGACCAGGTGGGGGCAATCAATAAGGTGGGCCATCCTTGGTCCAGCAGGGCCAGGGGAAAGAAGGAATGCAGACAACCTAATACTTGTTTGCCTGGGGACTATAAAAACCCTGGGGGGGGGGGCAGCACCGTGGCTCACTTGGTTAATCTTCCGCCTGCAGTGCCACCATCCATATGGCGCCAGGTCTAGTCCCAGTTACTCCTCTTCCAGTCCAGCTCTCTGTGGCCTGGAGCAGCGGAGGATGGCCCAAGTGCTTGGCCCCTGCACCCGCATGGGAGACCAGGAGGAAGCACCTGGCTCCTGGCTTTGGATTTTTTTTCTGCATCCTATTTGAACTCTTTATTTAACATAGAGTTAATCTTACATATAAAGTCAATTGAAAATAGATATCAGTAAAACATAAGAGTGGGAATAAGGGAGGGAGGAGGATGTTTTTAACTATTAATATATAGTTCTGCATACATTCCTACAGACTTACTTCTAAGGATACAGTTAAAATTTGTCAAGGGACTCCAAATCCCATTAAACTTGGTGGTAAAAATGCCATCTTAATTGTTGAAGTGATCATATTAACTGTTAAAGTGAACATATAGGCAGGATCAAGTGCCTGGTAATAGAATTAAAAAGGAGAGGATGTCCAACATGGGAAGCAGTCCACACAACAGACTCATAGAATGACAATCGCTTTAAATAACACTCTGACCTCAGAATCAGCCCTTAAGGCTTCCTGGTCTGGCTGAAAAGCCCATGAGAGCATTTCAAGCATGGAAAGCCAAGACACTGTGGCAAAAAATGTTCTACATGAAGGATCTCTGTGAGAGAGATCCCAGTGAAAAGAAGTCGCCATCAAAGAAGGATGTACTTTTATCTAAAGGAAGGACAGAACTTCCACTTTGCTTATGGCCTTGTCCAAATACTGACGGAGTTTGTGGACTCAAAAGGCTTCCATAGCCCACAGCTCATTTCAAGAGCCTCGGGTGGTCACTAACGTCATACATAAGAGTGTTAATTGTTAAATTAACAACAGGAGTCACTGTGCACTAACTCCCCATGCAGGACCTTTGTCCTCAATGAGTTGTATGAGAATTAATTGTAAAACCAGTTTCCCAGGTTTGTGTGTGTGTGTGCACGCACAAGTGCACACACAAATTGTTGAAATCTACTTAACATAGAGTTGGTCTTCTGTGTACAAAGTTAATTGAAAATCAATCTTAATGGAGAATGGTACTGGCAAGGAGAGAAGAGAAGAGAAGGGTTGGGAGTGTGGGTGGGAGGGCTGATATGGTGAGAAGAGTAACAATATTCCTAAAGTTGTACCTATGAAATTTGTATTCCTTAAAAATAAATTTCAAAAAAATTTTTAAATATTAATTTTTTAAAAAAGTGAATACAGATAAGCAGAATATCTTCAAGACCCTGGGATAAGCAAAGATATTTTACAGAATTCCAATAAATAACCACAGAGGAAAACACTAATAAATCAGACTATTACTATTATTTAAAGGTAGTAACTTTGATTCATCAAAGACACCACGGCTCAATAGGCTAATCCTCCACCTAGCGCGCCAGCACACGGGTTCTAGTCCTGGTCGGGGCGCCGGATTCTGTCCCAGTTGCCCCTCTTCCCCAGCTCTCTGCTGTGGCCAGGGAGGCAGTGGAGGATGGCCCAAGTGCTTGGGCCCTGCACCCCATGGGAGACCAGAGAAGTACCTGGCTCCTGCCATCAGATCAGCACGTGCGCCGGCCACGGTGGCCATTGGAGGGTGAACCAACGGCAAAGGAAGACCTTTTCTCTGTCTCTGTCTCTCACTGTCTACTCTGCCTGTCAAAAAAAAAAAAAAAAAAAAAAAGAAAAGAAAAGAAAAAATATATATACTATGGAGAGAGAATTCTACAATCTGCAAGAGAACAGCTTCAAGTCACACTTAAGGGAGTTCCCACGAGACCAACAGCAGATTCCTCAAAAGAAACCTTACAAGCCAAGAGGGAAAGTGATATATTACAAGTTCTGAAGAAAAAAAAAACTGTCAATTAAGAACACTATACTTGGAAAAGCTCTTTCACAAATGAACAAGAAATATTTACTAAGATGAGAAAAACAGACTTCATCACCACCAGATTGCCTTACAAAAAATGCTTAAGGAAGTGCTACAGAGAAAAGCAAAAGAAAGATATTATCACCATAAAAACTGTATAAAAGTTTAAAAATACTAGAAAAAAAAACAAAGAATATTCAAAATAAAAAGAAATTTTTAAAAAAGGACTAATTCATAACTTACCAAAAAATTTAAATTTAAATGAACTAACTTCTCTAAATAAAAGATACACATGGCTGAATGGGTTAAAAAAAAAAAGTCCAAGGGCCAGTACTGTGGCACAGTAGGCTACGCCTCTGCCTTCAGCACCAGCATCCACAGGGGCACTAGTTTGTGTCCCAGCTGCTTCTCTTCCGATCCAGCTCTCTGGTAGGGCCTGGAAAATTAGAAGATGGCCCAAGCACTTGGACCCGAAAGAAGCTCCAGGCATCTGGCTTCATATCGGCCGAGCTCTGGTCATTGCAGCCATTTGGAGAGTGAACCAACAGATGGAAGATCTTTCTCTTTGTCTCTCCCTCTCTCTGACTGTAACTGTCTCTCAAACAAATAGATAAAATCTTAAAAAAAATACAAAAAAAGTTCAGTGATATACTGCCTACAAGAAACTTAAATCCCCAATAAAGAAAGACCCGGCTGAAAGTGAAAGGATGGAAAAAAGATATCCCCTGCAAATGGAACCAGAAATGAGCAGGAATAACTGTACTCATCAGACAATATGACTTTAAGACAAAAACTGTAAAGAGACAAAGAAAGTCATTATTAATGATCAAAGGATCAATTCATCAAAAGATGACTTTAAGTGTTTTTGCAAGGCTACAGTGCCAAATTTCATAAAGCAAACATCAGATATAAAGGGAGATAAGCCTCAACAACAACAATAGTGGGGACATAAACACCGTTTCCATCAGTAGAAAGATCATCCAGACCAAAAGAAAAATCAGCAAAGAAATATCATAGTTAAACTATATCACAGGGGCAAGCATTTGGTGCAATAGTTAGACATTCTTGGGACACCAGCATCCTATAGCAGAGTGCCTGGGGCTGAGTACTACATACACCCCTGACTCCAGCTTCCTGATATTGCGTACCTTGGGAGGCAACAGGTGATGGCTCAAGTAGTTGGATCCCTGTACCCAAATAAGAGACCAGATTAGCTTCCTGGATCCCAGCTTGGACCTGGCCCAGCTCAGCTACTGTGGGCACTTAGGAAATGAATTAGAAGATAGGAGAGCGCTCTCTTTGTCTCTTCCTGCCTTTCAGAATAATTAAACTGTACAATAAACTAAGTGAACCTAATGACATTTATAAAACATTTCATCCAACAGCTGTAGAGTACACATTCCTTTCATCAACATATTAAGATCTCAAGAAAAACCATACACTATGCCACAAAACAAGTCTCAAGAAAAAAAATAATCAAAATCATAACATTTGTCTTTTCTGACCACAATGGAATAAAAACTAGAAATGAACAGCAAAATTAACTTTAGGAATTATAAAATATATGGGGCAGGCCAGTGCTGTGGTGCAATGGGTTAAAGCCCTGTCCTGCAGCATTGGCATCCCATATGGACCCAGTTCGAGTCCCAGCTGCTCCACTTCCTATCTAGCTCCCTGCTAATGCACCTGGGAAAGCAGCAGAGGATGGATCAAGTCCTTGGGCCCCTGCATCCACGTGTGAGACCCAGAGGAGCTCCTGGCTCCTGACTTCAGATAGGCTCAGCTCTGCCCATTGCAGTCATTTGGGGAGTGAATCAAAGAATCAAAAGGAAATATTAAAATTCCTTGAAACAAAAATAGAAACACAACAAATCTATAGGATACAACAAAATGTATGGCATGAAGCAAAAGCAGTACTAAGAAGTTACAGCAATAAGCAGTTACATAAAAAAAAAAACACCCCTAATGATGTATCATAGGTAACTGAAAAAAAAAGCAATTCCAAAGTTAATAGGACAAAATTACAAAAGTCAAAGAAGTAAATCCGAGAAAATAAAAATACAAAAGATCAATGATAATTTGGATTTTTGAAGAGATGAACAAAAATCCAAAAACATTTAACAAGAGTAACCAGAAAATGAGAGAAGACTAAAATAAATCCAGAGGTAAAAAACATTATAACTCAACCAGAGTAGGAACTATTTGAAACTATACAATAAAAAAATTAGAAAATCTAGAATAAATGAATAAATTTCTGGACAACACTCAAATTGCACCATGCAGACATAGAAAACCTGAACAGACCAACAGCAGCAATGAAATTCAATTATAATAGGAAGTCTTAAAGAACAAGACCCAGAGGAAGCTCCTGGCTCCTGGCTTCAGATTGGCTCACCTCTGACCGTTGCAACCATCTGAGGAGTGAATTAGTGGATGGAAGACCTCTCTGTCTGTAACTCTGCCTCTCAAATAAATAAATCTTTTTTAAAAAGAACAAAGCTGGAGGTATCACAATACCTGATTTCAAGACATACTATAGAACTACAATAAGATAAAATTTAAACAACAAAAATCTGCATGTACTATTAAATCTCTGAAACTTTCAAAGGATAGTTCAAGTAAAATACTTCCTCATCCTCTTTTAATATGTAAATATATATTGTTAAAATGTGTCATTCAAGAATACCAGAGAAATTTCCTGACTGTTTTCCTGTTATTTCTTCCTAATTCCTATTATTTCCCAGTAATGTGACTTCAAGGATAGAACGGTCATGAACGGGGGTATTCTGTTTAGGGACTTCAACACTGGGTTAGAGGCACAGCATATTTATTGGATAATGTTGCTCTTACTGTTATGCATTATCTTTGCTTGATCCTAGGCCTACCAAAACTGACACACTGCACTTACCCGACTTAGATTTCCAAATTCTGGCACTTGATTCAGGGGCACTGGAAAGATAATCAGGAACAATTCTCTAACCTTGGTACCACTGTCAGCCCGAAAACATTGCCCCAAATTAAAGCCACTTGCCCTCAACCTGTGTGCACTGCAGCTCTCTGAAGTGCTCAATGGCAAAAATGCTCTTACAGCTTTCCAAATCACAAGTTAGAACTTCATTAGGTTGTATATTACATCAGGCTTAAGTCTTGCCACACTAGAGCCTTCTACACACTCAGGTTCAGAGACCCAAACAGCACGGTTGGGTGCAGAAGTCACCAGTCTGTGAAAGAAGGCTAACTCGAGGGTCCCGGCCAGGATCAAAAGCCTGCCCTGCCTCCACCACAAAGCTCTTCAGGGAAGAGCAAGCTCAGCCTTGCTTTGTGATGTGAGTACCATTTTTATATTGTTTCTCAAGTTGACTGAATCTGCTTTAAACTCTTGGCATGCTGGAGGGTGCAGGTCTCCCCATTCCCTCACAGAACTCCCTGGACACTTGGAGCAGAGCATGCCACAGGCACTCTCGTTCAGAGCCCAGGCCAGGCTGGGGCTTCTGTTCCACAGGGATCGCCCCAAGATCTCTGAACTGAAGCCTTGTGGATTCCCCAAGCCTAAGCGGGCTGATCACATTCTGTTCCTGACCTGCACTGTCGCTGGGGAGCGCGATGATAATGAGATGGTAATGAGAACCCTGTGCACAGTGACAGTGAGCATGGACAGGTGTCTCACAAGAGGACATCAGGCAGTCAGAAAGAAACAACTGTCAATGTTACTTACCTAGATCTACAAAAAGATGCTTTTCTCCCACATTATTCTTCACAACTAAAAATGAAAGATCAGGATCGCTTTGCTTCGCTGATCCCAGCTGCCTCGGCTTCTCTGAATTCAGTGTCCAGCTCTCTCCTGTGTCCTTATCTGGGGACATTTTGTTATGAAGCCCCTTGTTTTGTTGGTGCTTCAGAAAAGTGGGAAAATCCCTGGTCCACTGTCTCTGAAATGCTATCATCATCTTCACTGGCAATCAACTGAAGAGCAGGCTGCAAAATTGTTCTCACAAAATTACCTAAGGAAAAAAAGGTGTTATGATTAATTCTTTCATGTGAACTGAATTCAAGATTCAGATTCAAATCTGCACATGAAAGGCGTTTCCTTTGATTTCTGCTTTTAAAATTGTTTTGGTAGAAACTATAACACATCTCTCTTCCTTCAAGCTATGCAATCTTTTACTTTTTAAATTTCCATTGGCAGGAAGCTTGTTGCAATTTGGAAACAAACCATTTTAGAAGAGAAAGTTAATTTGCGGTGTGTCAATGTTGCTAGCATAGATCTAACCCTAACATGTCATCAAAAAAGCACCATTTTTTAAAGAACTTCTTTTTAGAGTTTCTATTTTGAGAGGCAGAGAGCCATAGAGACAAACAGAATTCCCTTCCACTGGTTCACTCCCCAAATGCCCACAACAGACCGGCTGGGCCAAATCAAAGTCAGGAGCTAGGAACTCAACGTATATCTCACAGGAGCATGGCAGGGACCACTATTTGAACCATCACCTGCTGCCTCCCAGGCTAATAGCAGAAAACTGTGATCAAAAGTGGAGCCAGGCCGGCGCCGTGGCTCACTAGGCTAATCCTCCACCTTGCGGCGCCGGCACACCGGGTTCTAGTCCCGGTCAGGGCGCCGGATTCTGTCCCGGTTGCCCCTCTTCCAGGCCAGCCCTCTGCTGTGGCCAGGGAGTGCAGTGGAGGATGGCCCAGGTGCTTGGGCCCTGCACCCCATGGGAGACCAGGAAAAGCACCTGGCTCCTGGCTCCTGCCATCGGATCAGCGCGGTGCGCCGGCCGCAGCGCGCCGGCCGCGGCGGCCATTGGAGGGTGAACCAACGGCAAAAGAAGACCTTTCTCTCTGTCTCTCTCTCTCACTGTCCACTGCCTGTCAAAAAAAAAAAAAAAAAAAAAAAAAAAAAAAGTGGAGCCAGACTCAAGCTGAGGCACTCTGATATGGGATGTGTTTTCCCAAGCAGGGTCTTAACCACTAGGCTAAACGCCTGTCCTCATCACTTTGATTAATGAGAACAGAGTTGAATTGTTTTTGCTATTAATGAATAAAGAACACAGTTTATATGAGGAAATGGCTCCAAGACGATGGTGAGAAACACTGCGAGAACCTCTGCCTTACCCTCCTGGTATCCAGATGGTGGCAAACTTCTTAGGAACTCATTCTCTCTCCTTTGCCTGCCACGGCATGCCAGGAGAACCGTGCCTCCCACAGCTGAAAGGCTGTGGCTCCTGCTATCCCTCCCCCACATTTGTTGTGGGATGGCCTATGGCCTTGGGGGTAAAAAAGTATAAAATATACTTTTCCCAACTACATTTATCCTGAAAGTTCTGAATAACAGAGGTTCAGAAAAAAAGTGGAGAGAGTGTGATCTTAGCGAAAAATTAGGAAAAAGCCACAGAAGAATGACATGCAAATTAGAGGGACATTTGGACCTATATGGAGGATGTGGACACACCCAACTCAGGACCAGCAGCTGAGAACTTCAGCACCAGCTGTGGAGAGTGCAGTGAGACCAGACTGTAGCAGCCCAAGCCACTGGTGATAAAGCTGTGGTAAAAGCCCAGCAGGAATCCAGCTTGGAGCCCTGTGGGGGACAGTGTACCTGCCAAACTAGAAGAGAAAAAAAGGTGGCATGTTCCTCTCTCCCCGACCACCCTGCACCAGCATCCTGTAACAAGCCGAGGGAGGGTGGGCACTATTTGGACTTATGTAAGAGCTACACCAGTTCATGTCCATGCGCCCAGCGACTAGCCAAGCAGAGACACCCAAGACTGGCTGGGAGAACCGATGGGGCTGAGTGCTTGTGACCGTGGGAGGCTTGTGAGCCCGGACTGTGAGAAACGCTTGGCTGTGTGGGAGGGCTCAGGGTGTGCATGGGACTTTGCACAGTCACTGTGGGAGGCTCCCCATGCTCCTGGATTCCCTGGTGAGGGTCATTGCTATGGCATCCATGGTCACATCAAGGACTGCCCAGATTCGCTGTGTGCTTCTTGTGGCAGTGCAGATGCAGATTGTACCCTAGGGCTAGCACCCAGGCACTGGTCTCCTTTGAGGAGAGGAGGTGAGCAAGAGAATAAGCCAATAGAGCAGAACTAACCTCCTCTCTGCTAAGTAAGTAAGTAAGTAAATAGAGATTTACCACATCAAAATGAAATCTTGGAAATGAAGAATTCAATAGAACAAGCAGAAAATGCAATGGAAATCCTTAGCAACAGACTCGGTGAAGCAGAAAAAAGAATATCCAAGTTAAAGACAGATTGCTGGAAATTTTATAGTCAGACCAAAAAAAGAAAAATTAGAAAACTAAAAAACACTGTTGGACATCTATGGGATACTATCAAATGACCCAAAACAAACAAAATTGATACACCATTGGCCCAATTAAAAAAAAAGGGAGAAGACAGAAATCAATAAAATTAGAGATGAAGAGAAAATTTAACAATAGACACCACAGAAATAATAAGCCCATGAGAGTATTTCAGGCATGGAAAGCCAAAACACTCTGGGGGGGAAAAAAAAAAAAAAAACACCTAAATGAAAGATCTCCGCGAGTGAGATCCCAGTGGAAAGAATGGGTCATCAAAGGAGGAGGTACCCTTCTCTGAAGGGAGGAGAGAACCTCCACTTTGACCATGGCCTTGTCTAAATATGATCAGAGTCAGTGAACTCAGGGGGCTTCCATAGCCTTGGCAGCTCATGACGAGAGCCTAGGGTGATTACTGAGGCCATAAACAAGAGTGTCAATTTGTTAAGTCAACAACAGGAGTCACTGTGCACTTACTCCTCATGTAGGATCTTTGTCCTTAGTGGCTGTACATTGAGATTTAATGCTATAACTAGTACTCAAACAGTATTTTTCACTTTATGTTTTTGTGTGGGAGCAAACTGTTGAAATCTTTACTTAATGTATGCTAAACTGATCTTCTGTATATAAAGAGAAATGAAAATGAATTTTGTGTGAATGGAAGGGAGAGGGAGTGGAAAGGGGAGGTTTGGGTGGGAGGGACGTTATGGAGGGGGAAGCCATTGTAATCCATAAGCTGTACTTTGGAAATTTATATTCATTAAATAAAAGTTTGAAAAAAATAAAAAAAAGATAGGAAAAAAAAATAAAAAGAATCATCAGGAATTACTACAAAGAGCTGTATTTCAACAAACTGGGAAACACAGAAGAAATGGATAGATTCCTGGACACATACAACCTACCTAAATTGAGCCATGAAGACACAGAAAA